ACGAGATCATGGCAGTCCTGCTGGGGCGTGGTTGGCGTCGCACGCGAGCCCTCCACGAGATGCATTATTGTCTCGTTGCCCCTACAGTATGGGAAAAGATAAGAAAGAGAAAAGATGCGATGCGTGATACGTCTCGCGGAACACTGCAGAACCACACAAACCCTAATCAGAGAACGCAGAGTTAAAATTCAGATCAATGCTCACAGCTGGCTCGACTTGCTCGAGCCTGGACTAAATAAAAACACCATGTCTGGGATCTGGGGATTTTTATTATTCCTGCCTCTGGAATTCAATCCTTGATGACTAGGTAGCTATGTGATCGAGACATTGAAGCACCATTATTGGCCTCTTTTCATGTCCGACGGTTAGTACACCAAGCCATGCTAGACCACACCAGGAATGCGCACTTCTGCTGCTGACGCGGACATATCCGGAGGCTCAGCACTTGTGCGAAACGTCTCTGCAGGAAACTGAGCCTCATACGCCTCAGGAATCACCAGGCAGTATGCAGCTTATTCTTATCCTTCTTCTTCGTCTTCTCTTCTTCTTCCAGGCGCACGGACCCATGGATCTGTTCCGTCCCCCTGCATCTGCAGATACTAAGCCGAACAAGGCTGGCTTCGTTCGTCTTCATTCGGTCTGATTCCCCTTGTCAGCATCATATTTACCATTTGTTAGTATTAGTAATCCGGTGGCCGTGAGCGGAAGGAAAGAGGGAGCGAGGACGAAGGAGGGGAAAAGAGGGGAAAGGAGGGGAAGGAGGGGAAGGATGCCACAAGAGGGAATCCTCCGTGAAGGATTCTGCATTAGATAGAAATAAGGCCCTCGTGTTGATGGTATATGTCCTGCTACTATGGCAAACATCATGAAGTCCGGAGCCATTTGGAACTTGGATGCCACGCGGGAGGGGTTTCCACAGTGGCCTGAGTTCTCCGCAATTATAGTAAAGGACATATATATGAAGTACCCGCAGGAGCCAGTGCTTGGCAGCGCGCCACGTTGCTGCTGATTCAGCGGCGCAGTTATCGCGATAGCCTACAACGTGGTGAGCACAGTTCACATAAGCTCTTTTGACAGCTCTTGCAGAATGTTAGATGTTCACGAGAATGTGACTGTGATAGCCTCACGTGTTCCCAATTTTGCAGGGCAAGAGGGATAGGGAGACTCACCCTTTTTCCTTTCCTTCTTCTGCTTCGGTCCCAAATGTCCACTGTTCCGTTCTGTGTGCGGGTAGGAGCAAGACGAGGTGTTGTGAGTATTTCTTCTCCATTGCTGCTGCTGCTGCTGCTATCACTGCTGCCATCTCGTTGGCATAAAACATCTCCCCCTGTCTTTTCTGTCCCTTCCTACTTTGCAAGGCTGTACGAGAGAACAGCACAAACGGAACCGGAAAACCACCCCACGATTTGGGAGAGGGTTGGGGATGAAATCGCTTCAATGCACTGCAAATGGCCTAGATCGACCACGGGTCAGTGAAGCCGCGGTGTTAAGAGCCTAACTCACCTTATGTCGCGTCCGGCTTACGGTGGCGAAGTTGGGATTAAATCAATTCGTTCACTCGTATCTGGCTGTCAGCACTAGTATTCCTGCTGGCATTTGGTTAGCGCGCGATCCCCAACCGGCTTTTATCCTCTTCACTTGGCGTTCGTTGAGCCCCCACTCTTTCTGGCCCCCCATCATACTGAACTCAAAAAAGCTGAAAATAAGAAAGAAACACAAAAAGGGTCGACGTGCAAGACCCACGAAGGTGGGACGCCTGTCAAAGTGTCCTGATGTCCTTTCGAGACATCATCCCCTAGTGTCCGACTGAGATGACAGCTGTCGCAAATGTGCGATGTGCCGTCGTCAGCAGAGGAACAATATATACCGGCCAGATAGGGTTGTGGCGTGTTGTTGCGATGGAATTCTCTCCATCGTGTGTAAATCCATAGAGCGGAGGTTAGGGCTACGTTTTCTGGATTGTATATCGTGCCCTAACGGGCTAGACCACACCGTAAGACTGTCCAAGTTGCAACGTGAACTTCCGACTGTGCATCAAACCTGTACATAAGAAAGGTAGATCTTGTGTATGAGGGGTAAGCCATAGACACGGTTCAGAGTCAATGGTTGAGGTTGAGGACTTAAGAGCTCCCTGTAATTTACATAGAAAGAAACACGTGTATAAGTACATAGAGTCATTCCCTTTCAGCTTGCTTGACTCGACCCTCCCCGACTGTTCTCGATCGAAAGTCGGTCAGTCTTCTGCCTCTAAACTGCACCAATCTCCCTCTTCTACCCTCAAGGTTCAAACTCACAAGATGGTCTTCACCTCTGCGCCGTGGTGCCGTGACCTGGCCGTACCCTTCCCCGAGACCCAGCTGGTCGGCGACTTCGTCCTGGAAGGAGTCAGCGATGGCCTCGAGGAGAAGCCGCTGCTGGTGTGTGCCGAGACCGGCCAGTCGTACCGTGTGCAGGATCTCGACTATCGCGTCACGATGCTGGCGCGAAGCCTCGCCCAGAGACTGGGATGGCAGGCGACAGAGGGGCCGCCTGAAAGGAAAGTCGTGGGCATCTTGGCCCTCAACGCGGTAGGCCAGACATGACTTGGCTCTCCTGTCCTGTTCGGCACTGTAGCTAACGGAGAGGCGGTCGCTTCAGATGGATATCGTGCCTCTGTCCTGGGCGATTCACCGCATCGGCGGCACATGTCTCCTGATGCACCCGACCTCGTCGGCCAGCGAGATCCAGACCCTGATGCGCAAAGCTAACTGCCACACCCTGTTCACCTGCCGCCTCTTGCAACCGCTCTGCGAGGCCGTGTTTGCCGCGTTGCACGAAGATCCTGCCCGGTTGTTTCTGCTCGAATTGCCCGACGACGATGCGAGCACGCCGGCGACCCGGGCCACCGTCTCCCAGTTGATCGCCGAGGGAGAGCATCTGCCCGCCGTGGCGAGCATCGTTCTCCAGCCAGGGGAGTCCCGCGACCGGGTCGCATATCTCTGCCCGACCAGCGGCACTTCCGGGTACCAGGTAAGAGAGCCGATCCCCTGCACGAGCCTCCAGTGAGAAATCGAAGACCCTGAGTGACATCGTGCGCAGAAACTGGCGCAAATCACCCACGCCAACGTCATCGTCAATGCCCTCCAGGCGGTTACTTTGGACTCGTATGCGACCGGACCCAAGAGCCAGACCACTCTGGGCATCCTCCCGTTGAGTCACGCCTATGGCTTGATCGTACTGCAAACGTCGATGTGTCGGCGGGATACGACGATCCTGCACGCCCGCTTCGACATGCCAGCGGCGCTACGGTCGATTCAGCAGTACCGCATTGAGCGGTTGTATTTGGTTAGATTCTCCTCCGGCGATAATGTGCATATGCGTGTGCATACTGACGAGGGCTCTTCTGCTAGGTTCCCGCGATTGTGGCGGCGTTGGTGAATAATCCTATCTTATTCAAGCTGGCTGATCTGTCGTCCGTGCAGACGGTGGTCTGTGGATCTGCGCCCTTGAGTGCTGACATGATGGGCGCCATGAAACGGGTGCGTCACGACTGGGATCTCCTCCCTGGCTATGGTAGGTCAAACGCAATCGATTGAACTTTTGTGACAAACATCTGACAAGGCGTGATACGACGATAGGCTTGACCGAAGCGGCGGTGATTGTCTCATACACTAGCCAACATAGCATATATCCCGGCTCGGTGGGCAACCTGTTGCCCCAGGTGGAGGTGCGACTGCTCGATGCGAACGGGGTGGAGATTCACGACTACGACGTCGCCGGCGACCTCTACGTGCGATCGCCCAGCGTCATGAAGGGCTACCTTGGGGAGAACGAGGGGGATTCCTATGCCTTCGACCAGGACGGCTGGCTGGTCACGGGCGATGTGGCGTGCATGCGGCGCGGCGCAGACGGCGAAGAGCATTTGTTCATCGTAGATCGCAAAAAGGATATCATGAAGGTCAAGGTTCGTGTCGTTTGTTTTTCCTTGCCGTCACATGCAGCGCCGCTAACGTAGGCACGCATCATAGGGTATCCAAGTGGCGCCGGTCGAGATTGAAGCGCAGCTCTTGAACCACCCAGCTGTGGACGAGACCGCGGTGATTGGAGTCCAGGATGACGCGACGGGCGAGCGTCCATTTGCCTTTGTGGTGCGCTCGCGCCAGGTCGACGCCCAGATGGACGAAGCGACCCTCCGCCAGGCTCTGGCCGCGTACATCCAGAATACTCTGAGTGAGCCGTTCTGGCTCCGCGAGAACATTCGGTTCTTGGAGGCGATCCCGAAAAGCCACAGCGGGAAGGCGCTGAAGTTCAAGCTGAAGGATTTGGTGTGAGGTATGGACGGAGTCCAAGCTTATCAGCCACCTTTTGATTAGATACCCACCAGGAAATGAGAATCCGTTCAAACGCATTTGTACTCTGCGGTATTAGGAGACTAAGCAATACAACCAGACACCAGGTTCGGTGATGCTGAGCAGGGAGAAAGTTCATTGACAACCATGTATAATGGTATAATGAACGAACGACCTGTGATCCAGCGGGTAGATGCGAGTATAATCTCAGACTCGAAGCTGACCGCGCCAATCATTGTTGTCTAAATACCGACGTGACCGGAATGCAACCGTCTCATCATCCTAACCATTGTTACATATTACTGTATGTGTGAACTACTTCCAGACGTTGGGACGCAGAATGGATCATTTGCCCATTTGCCTAGTCCACGGTGCGCCCGCATGCAAACAGCCACCTTAATTTCTTACCCAGCCACCGCGGATGACGGGGTATTATTGCTGTCTGTAACTGTGGATAGCTCTCCTAAAGCAAAGGCTAAATTGGACACAAGAATCAGATCATAATGCGAACGAAGGCACCGAAAAAGGTGGATAAATACATGAATATCTCTCCCCAACGGGTCCCGTGACCCATGTAGCCCTACAGCGAGAAAGGAAATGGTAAGTCCCACCCCAAGTGAACCAGTGAGCTAGGCTGTCTGAAACCCCATTAAACATCAACTCCGTCTATAATCATGCCGTGTTCGTCTCCTCCTTAGTCCGCCGACGAACCATCAACTGCTCCTGCGGCCCTCGTAGCGTCAACTCGGTGAACAAACCCGCCGTGGTAGGCGGGGGCGGGATGACCTTGATCTCATACTTGGTGAAGATATGAGCAAACAGCAGCTTCAGCTCATCGGTGACGAAGAAGCGGCCAGGGCATGCGCGCTTTCCCATGCCGAAGGAGAGAAAGCGCTCTGAGGCACGGGACATGGGTACGCGCGGCGCCGCGGCGTGCTCGACCGCGTAACGAGACGGATTGTAGGTGGTAGCCTCGGGCCACAGGTTGTCGTCGCGGTGAATGGCGTAGGCCGCGACGCTGATGCGCGCCCCGTGCGGCAGACGCAGGCCCCCGGCTTCCTTGTCGGCGGCCAGCGTCGCCCCCGTGGGGCTGGTGACCTGGCGGATGAGCCCCGGAAAGACGACTGCCAGCCGCAGGCTCTCCTTGAGCGCGTTCTCGATGCACCCCAGCTTGTCGATGTCCTTCTTCTCCGGCCGCTGCTGGCACTCGCGCAGCACCGTCCGCGCCTCCGCCGTCACCAGTGCTCGGTATCCCTGCGCCTCGCCTAGTGTCGTCAGGTCCGCCAGGCACTTGCTCATCGTGTTGGTCGTCGTCTCGATCGACGCTAGGTTCGCCATGCCCACGCGCGCGATCGTCCGCTGCTCCAATCCGGCCATGGGCTCGCCGCGTCGGACGGCGCGCTGCACAATCCACGTCAGGAACTCGTTTGGGAGCTCGTCCGCTGCAGATGCGTGCTCGGGCTGCTCTTCTATGCGCTGGACATCGCGAATCCGCTGTCGCACCACGGACTGCAGGTGGCGGTTGAAGCCGGCCATGTAAAAACGGTTAATCCACTTGACCATCGAGGAGACAGGGCCCTTCAGCGGCCGAGGCAGCAGATCCTGGAACACGGTCTCAGGCATGACCGCCAGCCCTAACCCGACGGCGTCACGGATGTACTGCTCGTTGCGACCTGCGCGCCTCCCCATCTTCCCCGTTAGTGCACGACTAGTACTTACCATTGTGGCATAAATGGAAGGGGTTCGTACAAAGTTCCTTCCCGACGAACAGCCTATTGGTAATCCGCGCAATGATGGTGCGCGTACTGTCCTTGAGAGGGATCGTGCGCCACTCGGGCGAATCCCCCCACACGGCATGTAGCGCGTCCACGATCTCGTCGTTGATGTCGGCCGTCAGCCGCCCCAGGTTGTGCGTTAATTCCTTGCGCAGCACCTCCTGCACCGAGTGGTCGCCGACCAGTCCGTCCTGCACGAAGGCATGGAACTCGTCGTGGATCGGATCCATGCTTAGCACGGATTCAGGCTGGTCGATGATCCACCGGATGTATTTGGGTGGGAGGATAATCTGGGGTCGACCGAAGGCGATGGCGAGGGCGGCAGCGCGGCCTTTTTTGTTGCACTGGCGAGGAAAGGGGATCAATCACTTGCCGCTTATGCGTGTATGCAGGGTAGAGGGGGCCTGAGGAGGAAACTCACCTCCAGATAGGCCTGCATGATGTTCTGCTTCATCAGAAAAAAGGATCGTGCCTTTGCACGCAGGTAGCCAAAGCTCTCTGGGGGTCGGTCGATCCATTGCACCTCCTTGGGAACGATGTACTCCCACGTAGTCAGCCTGTTGGCAAGGACAAGGAGTAGCAGGATGACAATGACCGCCAGACTGCATTGTAAAAGGAGTGGGAGGTTCAAGAGAACTTTAATCATGACGAGAGGCCGAGGAATAAACCTCCAGAAAAGATGTTCGGAGGTAGAAAAGGGGGGATTCGAGGCAAAGAAAGGCTGCTTATGGATGCTGGCCTTTATATATATCAGCTGCCAGAGCCGCAACGCTTAAGGCCATCGGGCCAGTAGAGACCCCCCGCTACTGTCGGGGTCAGCCCACTCGCCGAGAGATTATTAAAAAGCAGGCCATCCTGTTGTCAGCCTGGCCGGAGACGAGCTCACAGCAGCAGGTCAGACGAGTGGGTTCAAGGCGGTCTTGAGATTAGTGTCTGAGTGTATGAGGTGCCCGTCATGCAGCGGATAAGCGGATTCATGCTAATATAACGTTCTACACTTCCCAGGTAGCTGTGATCAACAGATAAATGCAATAATCATGATCAGTCCGAAGATCTGGATCCCCCATGGAGCAAATATACTATGCGAATACAAAAATTACAAAACTATCATGCACACTCCAGCCAACCTAGGATATCAAACCACTGGACCCAACTACGTCTTCCTCACGCCGCGGCCACCGGAGCCTCGCGCTGCGGCGCCTGGCGAATAGAGATCATGTCGTGCTCGCCCTCAGGCCGGACATGGCTGAGCGGGCGCGCAAAGGCATCGAACTTGCGACAATGATAGTTCTCGTAGCGCCAGACAGTCCCGTCGTCGGTGGTGATCTGGGCCTGCTCGTTTGGACGCACAAAGTACGCCAGGGTGTATTTGGTCGCCTGGGCGTCGGTGTCGCTGGGCACGACGCGGTGCAGGGAGGGGATGATGCGCCCCCGCGAAAGGAACTTCAGGCAGTCGCCGAACTGGACGAAGAGCTGCGCCGGATTCGGCTCCACAAACTCCCAGTCCTGCCGCGCGATGTCGATGACCTGCAGCCCCCGCGCGGTGGCCGACAGTAGCGTCAGGCTGCCCACGTCCGTGTGCGCGATGTGTCCAAAGTTGCGCGACCCGGGCGGCTGCGGCGGATACTTCAGGAAGCCCAGATTCGTGACCGAGGGCTCCGAGGGCTGATGGGCCGCCAGAAGGGCGTCGCCAAGGTCCAGCACTTCGCTGACGCGCCGCAGGATGAGCTGCGCTGCTTGCTCGTAGTGCTCCATGCAGCGCGTGAGAGCCTCTCGGTGGGCAAAAACCAGTTCGGGGGACTGGAGTGCGGAACGAAAACTAGGCAGGAGAAACTCATTCTGGGGTAACTGAGATATAGAGAATAGGTTAGCCTCGTCTAAGGTAGAAAGAGAAAGGAGTAGGGTAGGGCAGGGAAAGGCAGGACACAGCGGCCAGGCAGAATACCATAAACATCTCGAATCCGTCGGGCTCTCCGGCCTTCGCGCCTTCTTCAATGCCCAAGGGCTTATATCTGTAGGGCCACACGAACTGCTGGTCAGTGGACCGCCATCCAAGTCGGGTTGCGCTGGAGAGTCCAGGGATGGGGGTATTGTTTTACTTACCCCGTGGTTCTAAACCGTCCCAGTGTCTTAAAATCAAAGCGCTCCTTGACGGGAGTGGGGATGTCGAAGACATTCTCAGAGAATGTCTCAAGAAAGCGAATTTCCTCACGAAGCCTCACGCCCTCTGGGCAGTCGAGATCCAGACTGAAGAAGCCATCCACGAGAGCTGCTTGTGTGAGCGACTGGAGGTCTTGCTCGGCACCCGTGATCAGTCCGTGGTAGGAGATTCGAGGCATGATGAAGCTTCACAGATATGACAGGGATTCAATGGAGAGTGGAGGAAAGGTGTTAGGCGGACGTATTCTATGGCAGGGCGCCGGCGGTGCAGAGGGTCAGCGGCCTCCTTTTATGCTTTCCCTTCGTGTTCAGCCGACAGTCAGAGCAGGCTAGGTGGCCTGATCCACTGACGTCTGAGCCGAGAGTCGACGCATGATGTGATTTATACAATGCAGAGCGTGTGAGGGCTACAGAGCCAGTACGTGGGAATCAAGTATAAAGTTAGGGCAAAGGAGAACGGACACTGAGAACTCAACTCATTGCAGCGAAGAAATTACATACATGTAACTAACGAAGAGTACCATATATACGCAGAAGCTAGCAACATAAGACATCAACCAACATAGATATTAAACAGCCAGTGAGGTCTGGCTTCTTTGCCACGAACCCGCCGTGAACCATCGAGCATAGCTCTTGCGGGCACTTGTCCACATCGTTCTGAGAGACAGCCGCTTTGCTTTCGCTGACGGCAGGGCTTCCTCGAGACGCGCTTCGTCCTCACGCCGTGATCCTACTAAGATTGCCTGGGCGGAGTCGAACTGGTCGCCTGGACCCAGAAGAGAGGCTAAGTAGACCGCGTCCAAGAGATCGCCGCCCCTCTGTGCAAAGGAGGCTGCCGGCCTGGTCTTTCCCGTGGCGATCCCCCGACGACGCTGCAGAACTACTTCCCACTCCGGCCGCTGTTTGATCTGCAAATACGACGCCATGACTAGGGGATCCTCGCCCGAGATCCGCTCCGTGATCTGCACCACCGGCGCCGATGACTTCTTCCCCTTCCCCCCGGACCGGGCCGCAGGGCCCGATAACATCTCCTTGACAGTGCGAGATGGCTCGTCCACAAGAATCGTGAGCGTCTCGGCGAGCATGCGCACATACTCCGATGCCGACTCAGGCGTGATGCTGTCGGGCCGGTAAGCCATACGTAGGTCCAGCGCGCCGTCCTCCCGGCTGACGGCCGTGACTCCCACGTCGACTGTCCATGTCGCGTCCGGCGCATCGAAGCTGGAAATGGCGTACTCCTGCCCGCTCATGGCAACGGTCCCGTTCGTCTGCTCGGTGATGTGGTTCAGTGCGGATGTAAACCTTGTCGAGGTCGCCCAGTCGGTGCAGTCATGGAGGATGTCTCGGAAGCCGAGGTGTCCGTGCTCGAAGCTCTGAATCTGCTGCTCCCGCACAGCTTGCAGTAGCTCGCGCGCTGTGAGGGCAGAAGAGGACAGCTGCACGCGGACGGGGAGCAGCGTGACGCAGCATCCCGTTGCATTCATCTGGGTGGCGTCGACGGTGCCCCGTGTGGAGACGGTGTCGGCGAATACCACGTCCTGGCTCTGGGCTGCACGGGCCAAAGTGATCGCCCATGCTGCCTTCACCAGGACCGCGCTGGTGACGCCAGCAGACAGCGAGCTCGCGAGGGGCACCGTCCTTGGGGCGAGGTGGGCCACGGTAGACGGATACTGTCCGATGGCGGAGATAGGGCGGCCCAGTTGGGGCATGGATGAGCCCGCCAACAGGTCGGTCCAGTAGTCGTACGTTTGTGCGGTGATGCGTTGCTGCTGGTGGTAGTAGAAGCTCGCGAAGGATGGGAATCGAGGCGGGATTGTGCCCTCGAACAGGGAGCGCAGGGTCTCCCAGATCACATTGATGGACACAGCATCGTACTCAGCGTGCGTCACGCGCAGGAGAAGTCGGTGTCGCGTGCTTTGCGCCTCCTCGATAATGGCCATCTGCGTGAAGGGTTCGCCCAAGCAGGGGGCTGGCAGTAGCTGGTGGTTGATAATCTCGGCCGTCTTCGTTTCGAGCGTACGCTCCGTGTGGAATATGGGGATGTCCGGCTCATAGGCACTCTTGACCACCTGCAGCAGGCGGCTTTGATCGAAGATGTAGGCCGTGCGGAGGATAGGCAGGGCGCGGATGAGGTCTAAGCAGCTCTTGCGCAGCCGCTCCACGTCACAGGGGCCCTGGCCGTCGAGCAGGAAATGCGCACAGTTGGCCGCGGCGGGGGTCGTGAGCACGCCTGCCACCGTGAGGGCTTGGAAGTCGGTGGTGGGAAGGATATCAACAACCTCGTCCGCACATCCGATGTTGCAAACGGGGGAGACCACTTCGTGGATAAATGCTTCGGGGTTATCGGTGTCGATTGAAGAAAATGGGACCACGCCTTCCTCTTCCTCCTCTTCCTCCTCCTCTTTCATTCCATCTTCTTTCTTCTCTGCTTCCAAACGTGCCTCTACACGCGCGCTCATGACCTCAGCCAGCTCAGACAGACAAGGGTGTTTGAAGATGTCCGCCACGCTCAGCTTGAACGGGCGAGAGCGCGATGCGGCCACCATGCGCATGGCGGCCAGGGAGTCTCCGCCAAGGTGGAAGAAGTTGTCATGGGCCCCGATTTCGTCCACCGGGAGATGGAGCCCATCAGCCCACAGGGCCTGTAGTTGGCGCTCCATCTCGGTGGAGGGGGCAACCTTGGGTCCGTCGCCTACGCGATACTGCCGGAGATTGTCGTTGGCGTTGTCGTCGTTATCTTGCAAACGTGCCAGCGTCGTGCGGAGAAGCTTGCGGTCCAGTTTGCCGGAGAGGTTGCGACTCATCTCCGCAATGGGCACGAACACGGCCGGAACCATGTACACAGGGAGTGTCTGTGATAGAATGCCGTAGAGCTTGCTGAAGGCCATTCTTAGGGCTGGGGATGGGGCCAGGAGTCCCGCCGGGGTGACTGCGCCACGGCGATATTCACTGTCTAGAGCAAACTCCATTGCGGCCACCAGGAAGGTCCGTTGGGTGTCCTCGTCGGTGAGCGGCTCTACGGCCACGGTACTCGCCATGGGCAGATGGTGCAGGATCTGATGTTCAATCTCACCGAGCTCGACACGCTGACCCCGGATTTTGATCTGAGAGTCTATTCGCCCGAGGTGGATCAAAGTTCCATCCTCGTTTTGTTGCACAAGATCTCCCGTACGGTAGAGCCGGCGTCCGTGGAGGCCCAGACGCCGTGTGAACTCGGGATCGACGATAAACGAGGCCTGAGTGCGGACGGGGTCACCGAGGTATCCCCGTGCCAAGAAGGGCCCTTCAATCCAGAGCTCGCCGGGTGCGCCGAGAGGACTCAGCAGATGAGTTTGCGTGGGCTGCGTGACCCATAACCGGGTGGCCAAGGGGAAGCCGATGTTGCTGACCTCGTGGGCATTGGTGTAGGGCCGAGTACAGGTACTCATAGATCCTTCGGTGGGCCCATAAGCGTTGTAGATATCGGCGTGATCCAGCCAGATGCTGACGACGTCGGCCCGAACAGGCTCGCCTGTCAGAATCAGGGTCTTCAGGGCTGGCACGCGACTGGGCACCACTTGCCGTGCCACAGTGGAGGTCAGCATTGCTGTGTTGACTTTCATGTCGGCCATCACCTCGATGAGCTGGTTCATACGGGCCTCCTCGGAGGGGATGCAGACGACGCCCCCAAAGGCCGTCGTAGCGAAGGTGTCGGTGATGACATTATCGAAGGTGTAAGATGCAAATTGTAGGAACCGCGTCGTGGGCGTGAGGTCCAGCCAGCGTCCCTGTTCGTCCAGACTCGTCGCCATGGTTCCGTGCTCGATGACCACGCCCTTGGGCACGCCTGTGCTGCCCGAGGTGAAGATGGCCCACGAGGCGTTGGATGGCGTTACTCCCGTCTCCGGCGCTTGTTGGCACCGTGGCCAAGTATCGAAATGATCCCGGTCGAGGATGACGAGCTGGATGTTAGCGAGGTTGGTCAGCCCCTGCAGTCGCTCGGCCTGTGCAGAGCTGACGATGATGAGGCGTGCCCGCGAGGCGTCGAGGATAGTGTCAATGCGGGCCAAGGGGTGTGATATGCCCAAGGGCACGATAGCCCCCCCAGCTTGCATGATCCCCAGCATCGCCACGGCGCCCCATTTCGATTTCTCCATACAAACTCCCACAATGCTTTCTGGCCCGACCCCGAAGGAGACGAGCTGGTGGGCCACGCGCGCACCCGCCTCGTAGAATTCCCGGTAGGTCATATCTCCATCCCAGGCGTGAATGGCGATGGCTGTGGGTGACCGTTCCACCTGTTCGCGTACCATCTCGTGGATGCATTTTTCCAGCCGGGCGGGAACGTCCGTGTTCCAGTGCAGGATCTGCTGCTGATCCGCGTCATTGATGGCCAGGATCTCTGCTAGCGACTGTGATTGCGTGCTCGGATCGCATAGTCGGCGGAACAGGCAGGCGAAGTAGTCTATCACTCGTTTGACCTGGGTCGAGGCGATGATCTGCTTATCGTAGTGCACATCTACGGTGAGCCCCTGTGCCCCAAGCTGGCACTCGAGGGTCAACGCATGTGCATTGAAGGGCTCGATCGGCAGGGGGATGGTCTCCAGGCCGGGGAAGTCTAGATGCCCTTGCGAATCCTTCTCTTCAGCCAGCTGGATGACCAGCAAGCTGCCCGTGTCCAGCGTGCTAGCCAATGTGGGCACCAATGCCTTGATCCCCTGTAGACCGGTATGCTCGTGGTCAATCATGCGTGTTGCTTGCCGCTGCATCGCATCCAGAAAATCGGCCACAGTCCTTGTGTGGTCGACTCGCGTACGAATCGGCACGGTCGTGATGGTTGGGCCCGCGATATCTGATATGCCTCGAACCGGGGCATTGCGGCCGGAAACCGTGGCTGCGAAGGCGATGTCCTCATGCCCCGAATACTGGGCGACGACCAGCGCCCATGCGGCGCGGAGGACGGTCGAGATGGTCACCTGGCCATGTCTCTGCGTCGGCGGAAGTGGGATCGTTGCATGAAAGTCGTCCTGTGGAAGGGGTTGCTTGTCTGAGACTCGTCGCGGCCAGCTGGCCATCACGTCGCCCTGCAGCTGCTCGCGCCAGTAGTGTGTGCTCGCCACGGTGTCGGGGCGACCGTGTTGAAGATACCGGATGAATTGCGTGTAGGGCACCGAGGAGGCAGACCGGCCCTGGCGGTAGATGTCCAGGAGGCGTTTGCTGAGTGCACCGACGGTCCAACCATCATACAAGGCATGATGCGCGGTCCAGATGAAGTAGCATGCCCCCGTAGGCTCCTCGACAAAGCCATAGCGGACCAGCGGCTGGCCGAGAGACATGCCCAGGGCGCGATCAGCCTGCAGATACTGCATGAGGTCCGTGCCTGATTGCCAGCGGATGTCGTCACGAACCACCACCTGCAGGGCAGGGGATTCACCTTCCACCAGGATTCGCGTGCGCAGAATGCTGACTTCCGCGGACAGGGTCTCCCACGCCGCCTGGAACTGGTTGCGATCTACGGCGCTACCCATCGCATACACCTGTTGACTTACATAGGCTGCCGGCTGACGCGCTGTGACGGCCATCAAACCTTCCTGCAGTGGTGTGCAGGGATAAACGTCCTCAGTCTGATCCAGGCTCACCCCAACCCTCGTCGCGATGCGGTGTAAGCGCTGTTCCCGCTCCTCCGGGGACCCAGAAACGTGGAGCTCGTCCCATAGCTCGAAAGGTGCGGGATCTTCGATGTCCTGCGCCTGTATATGTTCCAATGGCCGAGCAGCGAGCGTGGCAGCCAAGTCGCCCAACCGCGGCGACTTGAAGATATTTTCCACGCTCAGCTGCAGCCCATGGGATGCGGCGGCGACGACCATCCGCATCGCTGTCACCGAGTCTCCACCCAGGTGGAAGAAATTGTCGTTCATGGACACGCTGACCCCGGCGGGGAGATCAAACACCTCGAGCCAGAGCGCATGAACCTTCTTCTCCAGTGCAGTCACAGGCAAGGCCTGCATTTCAGCCTTGTCGTCGTGGATGTACTGTTGCAGGGTGGCCACCGAGTGCTGCGCCAACAGGGCCCGGATGGCCCGCCGGTCAAGCTTGTTGTTGGCATTCGAGGGCATCTGATCCATAGGGAGGTATGCAGCGGGGACCATGTAGACCGGCAGAATGCGGAGGAGCGTCTGACGAAGCTCATCGAATCTGGCGCGAAGGCGATCAGAAGGGGGAAGGGGCTGCAGCGCATCAGTGGTGGTGGCACCAGTAGCAGCGTCGTTGTCGTCGTTGCGAGTCTCGTCGACAAAGTCCATCACTGCTACAAGGCTGATCTGCTCGCCATCTCCCCCGTGCTGAACGCGCTCTACCGCGACGGTGCGCGCCCCGGCGAGATGTCGCTGAATTTGGTATTCTATCTCGCCCACCTCGATGCGCTGTCCGCGGATCTTGACCTGAAGATCCCGGCGGCCGAGATGGATCAGCGATCCGTCAGGGTTCTGCTTGACCAGATCACCGGTCCGGTACAGGCGTCGACCTGCGAGGCCTAGTCGAGGAATGAAGTCGGGGTCCCGGACGAAGGCCGCATGTGTCTTCTCCTCGTCATTGAGATAGCCCCGGGCTTGGTTCGGGCCCTCAATCAGGAGCTCGCCAGGGGCGCCAATCGGGCACAGCGTGTGGTGATTGTCGGCATCCACAACCCACCATGTGCAGGCAAGAGGAAAGCCAATGTTGGACGCGAGGGAGGCGTCATGTATTGGACGACTGCAGGAGGAGTGGATCGAGCACTCAGAGGGGCCGTAGGCATTCAGCACAGTGGCATACGGCGACCATAGGGCTACGGCTGCCGCGGTAACCGGTTCACCTACTAGGATCATCGTCCTCATTGAGGGGATTCTCTTAGGGAACAGCATCGACGCCACCGTCGAGGTCAAGGTTGCGCAATTGACCTGCATGGCACTCATGACCTCCGTGAGCCGATTGACGCGGTCGTGCTCCGAGGGAATGCAGACACAACCCCCGGCCCAGAGGGTGGTGATAATATCCTGAATCGTGGCATCGAATGTATGGGCTGCGAATTGCAGAGTACGGGTGGTCTCATCCATGCTGAAGGCGGCGCCATGTGCCTCGATACTGGTGCTGAGCGCCTGGTGCTCGAGAATTACCCCCTTCGGGGTGCCTGTACTACCAGAGGTGTAGATGATCCACGCCATATTGTGCGGCTTCACCGTGCTTGCCTGCAGCAGTACGCTCGTTTGTGCGAGGCCCAGTGGTGGACGGCGAGCGAGGAAATCTTCGTCCACGGTCAATAGTCGAAGGCTCAGTGACGCCAGCCGTTGCTGCTGTTCACGATCCACGAGTACGGTCTCCACAGCTGCATCCTGTGCGATGGCCTGCACACGAGGCAGAGGATGAGCCGCCCCGAGGGGAACGACGACCCCTCCGGCGTACAGAACCGCGAGTATGGCGACGGCAGCCCACTTGCTCTTATTCATACAGACTCCCACCGTGCGCTCCGGCTTCACGCCCAGGTCGTGCTGGAGATGGGCAGCCAGGCTCGCGGCCTGTCCTGAAAGCTCCTCGTAGGTCAATTCGCCGTCCCAGGCGCTGATTGCGCATGCAGTGGGCTGGCGGACCACGCGGTTGTACACAAGGACATGGATACATTGCTCAACGCAGGTGGGGACAACCTGGTTCCAGTCCAGAATCTGCTCCTCGTCTTGGGGACTGATATGCAAACTGTGCAGCGGCTGCTGGAACCGGTCGGGGTTGGCGAGCTCCTTTACAAGATGCACGAAGTGGTCGACCACCCTCTGAATATAGGCTGTAGCGACGACCTCCTCGTCATACTGAACGTCCACATCAATCTGCTGCCGTCCTAGCATGCACTCGATCTGCAGACCGAAGCTGCCAAAGTCCTCAAAGGGTGCAGGGAGAGCCTCCAGGCCCGGAAGGGCGATAGGGCTGTGGTCGCTCTCGGCCGCAGGCTGGATGACCAGGAGGTTGCGGAGGGCCAGAGCCGTGCGACCAGTGCTGTCCGGCAGCAGCTTCTTGATCTTTTGCAATCCAGTCTGCTCATGGGGAATCATCTCAGTGGCTTGTTGCTGAATGGCCTGCAGGAGCCTGGCCACCGTCATACTTTTGTCGACTGATACGCGGACCGGCACTGTGGTTAGGGTTGGACCGGCGATGTCCTGGATTTGCTGCACAGGGGCATTGCGCCCCGACACGCTGGCGGCGAACACAATGTCGTTGTGCCCACTATACTGGGCCATCACGATCGCCCACGCAGCGCGCAGGATGGTGGAGATCAGAATGCCGCCGCTCAAGGGCGCTGGACTCGCCACAGCTGTCTGGATGCGCGATTGTGGTCTGGGGTGGTAGTCGTGCTGAGGCAGTGCAGGCCAGTCAGCCACCACCTCACCCTCGAACTGGCTCCGCCAGTATTGAGCTGTCTCAACGGGATCCCGTGTGGTCAGGTACCGGATGAAACGGGAATATGGAATGCTTGACGGGATCGAGGCCGCATGTTCCAATCCATTGTAGATCTGTGCGAAGCGCTGCGCGATCTCACGCATCGTCCAGCCATCGTATATACTGTGATGTGCGGTCCATACGAAATATGATTTCTCACTCGACTCCATCACCAAGCCGTATCGCACGAGGGGTTGGTCCAATTTCATCACTGCCTCGCGGTCCTCAGCAATGTAAGTCGCGAGATCGGTGCCGACTTGCCAGACAATCGGAGCTTGTACCACCACTTGTAGGGCTTGCTGATTGGGACCCATCATGAGACGCGTGCGCAGGATGGGCGTGGTCTGGGTCAATGTCTCCCAGGCTGCCTGGAACCGGTGCAGGTTGATGACAGCGGTCGAGAGAGAGTAGACCTGTCGACTGATGTAGGCCGCGGATTGACGCCCCGTAATCGCCATGAAACCTTCCTGCAGTGGTGTGCAGGGATATATATCTTCGATCTGATCCACATCCACCTGGCAACGAGCTGCGATCTCGCTCACGGCTTCGGGCGAGGCATTAGCCCACAAGCCCAAGGGCTCGGGATCTTGTTTCTCTTCCTGATCTGCAGTAGTAACTAAGCTGAGCTCCGTCAGCCTCTGCGCCAGATCACCGAGACGTGGGTTGCGGAAGACGTCAGCGACGGTCAGGTGTAGTTTGATGCGTTGCCAGGTTAGGGCTGCCAGGTGCATCGCAGCCACCGAGTCGCCTCCCAACTGAAAGAAATTGTCCTGCAGGCCCACGCTCTCTGCCCTCTCAATCCCCAGGGCCTCCAACCAGAGACTCTGTAATGTACGCTCCATGTCGGTGGAAGGGGCGACTTTCTCACGCCCCTCGAGATACTGCTGCATGGACTCGGCGGACATGGCGGCCAGCTGCTCCCGCAAAGCTCGTCGATCCAGCTTGCCGGAGAGATTGCGCGGCATGTGGGCGACGGGGACGTATGCGCTTGGGACCATGTGTGTAGGGAGCACCTGGAACAGGGCGCTATGGAGATCCTGGAACGCCGCCTGCATCGCTTCTGTGGGTGGCACAACATTTTCCGTGGCCCTCAACCGGTGTTTCTGCACATCTTCCTCCCCTTCATCCTCCTCCTCCTTCTCTATGCTGAGATATCTGCTCCCCGGCATAAACTCGATAGCAGCCACTAACACCGGCGAGCCCTGGGCTCCGCGCTGAAGCAGCACCGCCGCCACGACGCGGGTCTCAGCCAGAGACCGGACGATCTGCTGTTCAATCTCGCCGATCTCGACTCTCTGACCGCGGATCTTGACTTGCGTGTCACGGCGCGCCACATACACGAATGACCCGTCATCCTTCTGACGGACGATATCCCCACTACGGTAGACACGTCGCCCTGGGGTTAAGCCGAATCGCGCCATAAAGTGTGGATCAAGAAGGAACTGGGACTGCGTTTTGTCAGCATTGTTGAGGTATCCGCGCGCCAACTGCGGCCCCTCGATCAGCAGTTCGCCCGGCGCGCCTATGGGACACAGTCGGTCGTGGTTTTGGGGATCAGCCACCCACAGGCGAGTGCCGATGGGCGTGCCGATGTTATGGATCTCGTCGATGTTCTGGACCGGACCGGCTGCCGAGGAGAAGATGGAGCACTCCGAGGGACCGTAGCAGTTGAAGAGGTCGACCTTGGTCCGCCAGCGATCGGTCACCTCGATGGTTGCTGGCTCGCCGCCCAGAACGAGCGTGCGGAGACTGGGAACCTCCTCGGGTGTGAAGAGTCCGGCCACGGTGTAGGTGGTAGCCAGCGCGTTGACATGGGTCTGGCGCATGAACGCCGTCAGCTGGCGCATTTCCAGCCGGTCCTCTTCCGACGGCACACAGCTCAGCCCGCCCCAGGCCCAGGTGGTGAAGTAGTCCTCGATCGTGCCGTCGAAAGTATGCGCCGCGTACTGCAGCTTGCGCGTATGGGGCCCAAACCCATACCGCGTGCCGTGGGCCCGGATGCTCGTACACAGGGTCCCATGCTCGAGCACGGCGCCTTTAGGGGTTCCCGTTGTCCCGGATGTGTAGATGACCCAGGCAGCATGGTTAGGGGTGACGCTAACAGCAGGGATGGGGGGCACGAATGTAACCTCCTTGTTGGGAGTGACAGTGGTAGACAGACTCTCGAAAAGCTGCGAATCGACCACAAGGAGGGAACAATCGACTTGGCCGTTTAAGCGGTCGTGTTCCAGGCCGTCCACCAAGGTCACGCGGACTGCAGCGTCGTGGAGAATCGTCTCGATTCGCTGGATGGGATGGCTGACGCTCAAGGGCACCACGACTCCCCCAGCCTGGAGGGTGGCTAATAGCGCAACCGCCGCCCATTTGGACTTGGCCATCGAAACACCCACCATCCGCTCTGGTCCCACCCCGAGTACAACGAGGCGGTGGGCTAAGAGACTAGCGAGATGTGTCAGTTCACGGTAGCTGAGCTGTCCGTCCCAAGCCCAAACCGCTAGCGCTGTAGGGCGGGCTTGTGCTTGCTCTTCCACCAGCTCGTGGATACATTTCTCGACGCGCTCCGGGACGGTGGCATTCCAGACCGCAATCTGTGCGTGATCGGCACGGCTGAGTAGATCCAGCTCCTGCAGGGACGAGCGTTGGAGACTCGGATCACACAACACCGCCACGATGTGTGCGAACTGGTCCAGCACACGGGTCATATATGCCGGTGGAACAACCTTGTCGTCGAACCGCGCCTGCACCCCAATCGTTGTCCCCAGCGTGCACTCGACATTCAACCCATAACTATCAAAATCCTCTACGGCGAGGGGCAGGGCCTCAATACCAGGGAAGTCGAGCGTCGTGTCGCTCTCAGCGGCAGGTTGAATGACAAGCAGATTGCGCAGCCGCAAAGCCGGATGGCTGCGAATGCCCTGGAGTCCGGTGTGCTCGTACGCTATCATCTGAATTGCTTGCTCCTGCACCACTTGCAGGAAGTCTGCCACCGTCTGGGTCTTATCAACGCCAATCTGGATACGCAAGGGCACGGTGGTGATCGTCGGCGCAATGATCTCGCTCACACCGGGCACCGGGGCGTTGCGGCCGGAGACGTTCGCAGCGAATACTACGTCTGGCTGGCCGGAGAACTGGGCCATGACTAGACCCCACGCGGCGCGCAGCACGTTCGCCATGGCGATACTGCCTGGTCCAGCATCGAGGCCCATTGTGACCTCCTTGCGGATTGAAGTCCGGGCTCGGGGCTCGTAGCCCGCATGCGGCAAAGGCGGCCAGTCAGCCACCACCTCCTCCCCGGCAAGCTGCTCGTTCCAATACTGCTGGTTCTCGGCAGCATTTATCTGCGTGAGATAGCGAAGAAAGCGCGTGAGGGGAACGGGGCGCGGGATGTAGTCCTCGGCGTTGTAAATGTGAATGAGCTCCTGGCACAGGAGACGCACGGTAAAGCCATCGTAAATACTGTGATGGGCCGTCCAGACAAACACTGGGTCACCGGACGATGGACGAACTAGCCCAAATCGCGCCAGAGGCGCTCCGAGCTGGATGCCGGCTGCCTCATCCTGCTGGAGATACTCGTCCAGGCTGGAGTGCTTGTGCCAGACAATCGTATCCCGCACCACCACCTGCCAGGCGCCCTCGCTGTCAATAATTGCGCGGGTTCGCAGGATAGGGGTATGCGCAGCCAGGGTCTGCCAGGCTGCTTGGAAGCGAGGAAGATCAATCTCGGCAGACAGCGCGTACATCTGCCGGCTGACATACGCCGACGTCTGGCGGGCAGTGCTGGCCAGAAGACCTTCTTGCAAGGCTGTACATGGATAGACGTCTTCGACCTGGTCCACAGCCACGCCACATTGCTCGGCAATGAGAGCAAGGCGCGCTGCTCGCTTTTCCGAACTGGTATTGACGGCCTGCTCCCAGAGGGCGAATGGCGCGGGATCTTGCATCTCTACTGTATCACTTGTCTCTTCTTTCTCACTGAGATGCTCCTCAATGACACGCGCAAGGTCCGACAGCCGCGGATGCTGGAAGATATCCGCCACGACCAACCTCCACTCCTTGTGCATCCGGGTGGCCGCGGCTACCATGCGCATGGCCGTGACCGAATCACCTCCCAGCTGGAAGAAGTTATCGTGGGCACCGACCTCGGCAATGGACATCCGGAGCGCCTGCGCCCATAGTTGCTGCACCGCAGTCTCCATGGGGGTTGAGGGTGCTACCTTACGCAGCTCCCTCTCCTCCCCGTCCTCTTCCTCCTCCGTCGTATACCGCCCCAGACTGGTCGACCATATCCCATTGAGGAAGACCTGTACAGCCCGACGATCCAGCTTTCCCGAAAGATTAAGCGGGATCGCCGTGACCGGCACATACATCGCAGGCACCATATATGTCGGGAGGACATCTAGCAGCCCTTGGCGCAGGGCCTTGAAGGCGGAGCGCAGGGTCGGCGTGGGGGGCAGGGTCGCCAGGACTGCATTATCAGTCTGCTCGCCTTCTTTGCGGAACTCGATGGCGGCCACCAGGGTCATCTTAGCGTCGTGCTCGAGCAGATGCACCACGGCGGTCTGCGCGTCGGGCAATTGCTGCATGACCTGGTGTTCGATCTCGCCGATTTCCACGCGTTGGCCCCGGACCTTGACCTGCGTGTCCCGTCGTCCGAGATAGGTGAAGGATCCATCCGCCTGCTGGCAGACGAGATCCCCGGTGCGATAAATGCGACAGCCCGAAGGCGAGGACAGGAACGCGGGCGGGGCCACAAAGGCTGCAGCTGTCTTCTCGGGGTTGTTCAGATACTCCCGGGCCATCAGCGGGCCCTCGATCAGCAATTCCCCCGGCGCACCGATGGGACACAGTTTGTCATGACTGTGCGGATGGACCACCCAGTGGCGCGTGGCCATGGGGGTGCCGATCGTGAGCGCCTCCTCGGGGCGTAACAGCGGTCCATTCGCGGTGCAGACTGATCCCTCGGACGGGCCGTAGGTATTGTAGATGGCGACACCGGGCTGACTCCAGAGGGCGATAACTTCCGGTGTTAGGGCTTCTCCGGTCAAGGCCAGCGTCCGAAGCGAGGGAGCGTCGGCGGGAGACAGCAATCGGGCCACTGTAGGCGTCAGACTGGCAAAGTTGACCTGCATACTGCCAATTGTGGCGGCGAGGGCATTGACCCGGTCACTCTCGGACGGGATACACACGCAGCCTCCGTAGATGAGGGTGGCCGAGACATCAGAGATACTGACGTCGAAGGTGAAAGGGGAGAACTGCAGCGCGCGGGTCTCGCTGGTGATCTTCATCTTCCGGGCCTGTGTCTGCATGCTCGTACACAGGCCTCCGTGCTCCAGGACCACGCCTTTCGGCGTTCCTGTGCTACCTGAGGTGTAGATGATCCAGGCGGCGTTATCAGGCGACACGCTGGTGGTGGAAGCGCTGGTCTGCGCTGGCAGGGTCGTGCGAAGGCCGCCGTCGACGACGACCAGGCGAACAGGGAGGATCAGGGGGCTGAGTCGCGCATGCTGCTCAGCGTCCACAAGAACCACGTCGGCCGCAGTATCGTGGACGATCACCTGAATTCGCGAGAGAGGATGCGTCACGCCGAGAGGCACAATCACGCCCCCCGCAAACAATGTGCCAAACATCGCCACGATTGCCCATTTCGACTTATTCATGCACAGACCGACCTTCGTCTCAGGGCCGATGCCAACGCCAACCAGGAAGTGCGCCAGGTGGACCGCCTCGTTGAACAATTCTTGATACGTCAGGTCCCCATCCCAGGCACAGACGGCTGGGGCGTCAGGGTGTGCGAGCACCTGCTTGCGGACCAGCTCGTTTATGGTCTCGTCGACACGCGAGATGTCGACTTGTGCATTGTGCTCGAAGATCAGCTCCTGATCCCCGGGACTGATCAGATCTAGATCGCCCAGACGACGAGACTGGACGCACGTGGGATTGTATAACTGCTGGACGAGGTGGATAAGATGCGCGAGGATGCGTTCCACCTGGTGAGTGGGCACAATGTGTTCATCGTAGCGGATGGCAACGCGTAGGTCGGTGGGACTCAACGTGCAGTCCACAGTTAGGGCATGGCTGTCGAACTCGGTGCCTGCTCCGCTGGTCGTCAGCGGCCGAACGCCGGGGAATTGGTGTAGGGCATCAGCCTCGTCGGCAGTCTGCACCACCAGCACATTTCGCAGGTCCAATGCCGGGGTGGACTCCGGTGGAATGAGGGCCTTGATCGTCTGGAGTCCCGTATGTTCGTAGTCGATCATTTGTGCGGCCTGCTGTTGCACTGCGTCCAGAAACGAGGTCAAGTCTTGCGTCCAGTCAACGTGCACGCGCACGGGGACGGTGGTAATCGTGGGCGCCACAATGCTCTCAATGCCCTGCACCGGTGCGTTCCGACCTGATACTGTGGCGGCGAAGACGACATCGTCGTGGCCCGAGTACTGGGCCATCAGCAGCGCCCAGGCAGCCCGCAGCACGTTGGATGCAGTCACCGTGTCGCCGCCGGACCCGTGTGTAGGAAGCGAGACCTGGCGTGTCCGCTCCAACCCTGGACGGGGTCGATAGTCGACATGAGGGAGAGGAGGCCAATTGCTCATCACGTCCCCTTGGAGCTGATCCATCCAGTACGCGGCCCGGTCCTTTGCCCTACTAACATCATCAATCTCTTCCTCCTGATCGCGCAGAAACCGGAGAAACCGAGTGAACGGCACCGAGGAGGGCACTTCGCCCGACTCGAATATAGTTGTAAGATGACGATACAGCAGAAGGGTGCTCCACCCATCATACAAGCTGTGGTGGGCTGTCCACACAAAGAACCGCTGGCCAGACCCCTGGTCCTGAACCAACCCGTATCGCGCCAGCGGTGTTCCCAGTCCCATTTCCTGCTGCTGATCGACGCGCAGATACTCCTCCAGATCGCCACCGTGGTGCCAGACTATCTCGTCATCAAGGACGACCTGGTGCAGGGCCGTGGCAGAATCGCTGCCAACGACAATGCGCGTGCGGAGGATGGGCGTCACAGCCACCAGGGTCCGCCAGGCGTCCTGGAAGCGATCGAGATTCAGGCTCGGGTCCAGCGTGAAGGTCTGGCGGTTGACATAGGCCGAGGACTGTCGACCCGTAATAGCCATAAGGCCTTGTTGCAAGGGCGTGCACGGATAGACGTCCTGGATCTTCGCCACGGCCGTCCCACATTGCTTCGCGATCTCCTGCAGCTGATCTTGCACCTGCGCCTCATCGGGCCTGTTATCACCCAACCACAAAGAAAATGGCTCAGGATCCGCATCTCCTCGCGTCTCTGGCCTCCGAATCTGCACTCGGCTGCTCAAGCGTTCTGCCAGATCCACCAGTCGAGGCATCTGGAAGAGATCCGCCACGGTGACTTGGAGTTCGCGGCCCGCTGCGCTCGCCACCATGCGCATCGCGACCACCGAGTCGCCGCCAATCTGGAAGAAATTGTCGTGGATATTAATTTGAGAGACAGATACGCGCAAGGTACTGGCCCAGAGCTCCTGCAACTGGCGTTGAAGCGGCGTGATAGGCTCGTCACCAACTTCCTTGCTCGTCGACAGATAGGGCTGGCGGTCCGGCGGGGAGATGGCTGTCACTAGATCTCTGATGGCGCGGCGGTCCAACTTCCCCGAGGCGTTCAACGGCATCTCGAGAATGGGGAGGATCGCCGCCGGCACCATGTAGGTAGGCAGCAGCTGGAACAGCGTGCCGCGCAGCTGTCGGAGGGCCGTGTTGAGGGCCGGCGTGGGCTGCAGTAACCCATGCGCCAGGACGGTATCCTCACGATAGGCCACACCTTCTTGGAAATCCACTACCGCAGTCAGACTGACTTGTTCAGCGCCTGGGTCCTGCACCAGCTCTACCGCTACGGATCGTGCACCCGCCAGCTGCTGGGTGATCTGATACTCGATTTCGCCCACCTCGACCCGCTGGCCGCGGATCTTGATCTGCGTGTCGCGCCGGCCGAGATGGGTGATTGACCCATCCTCGTTCTGACGCACTAGATCCCCCGTCCGATACATACGTTGTCGTCGGTGTGATGGGTGCGCCACTGGGTCATCGTCGAGCCCAAGCTGGTGGAGAAAGGCCGGATCGACGACAAACACCGCTCGTGTCTTAGCCTCATCGTTCAGGTACTCACGTGCCAGCAACGGCCCTTCAATTAGGAGCTCGCCGGGCGCCCCAATAGGGCACAGTTGGTGATAGTCGGCGACGTCGACAACCCACAGCCGCGTGCCCATGCCGGTGCCGATGATGGCGGCCTGCCCGGGATCGGTCAAGGGTGCACTGCACGTCGAGTGGATCGAGCATTCAGACGGTCCGTACGCGTTGAGAACGGTGACATAGGGCAGCCACTGTGCAACCACTTCTGCCTTGACCGGTTCGCCAACCAGGGCCAGTTGCTGCATTGATGGTACATCCGGGGGATGAATCAAGCGGGCCACCGTCGAGGTCAGGGTTGCGAACGTCACCCCCATCGTTTTTATCGCCTGCGTCAGATTGCTCATGCGATCTGTCTCACTGGGCACACAGACCACGCCGCCCCAGGCGAGGGTGGTGAAGTAATCTTGGATACAGGCATCGAAGGTATGGGCGGCGAACTGGAGCATTCGCGTGTGCGACCCCATACCAAACCGTGACCCGTGGGCCTGGATGCTGCTGCAAAGAGCGCGATGTTGCAAGACCACTCCCTTGGGCTTCCCTGTACTGCCTGAGGTATAGATGACCGAGGCCGCGTTCCCCGGATTGACCGTCGCATGGATGTCCTCCCGTACTGGCAGGGTGCGTAGCAGAGTAGCATCAACCACCACGAGCTGTACATTCTCGGAGAGATCAGAACTAGCGAGTCGATCTCGTTGCTCCGCATCGACTAGGACGATCTGCGCCTTTGTGTCCTCCAGGATACCAGCCAAACGAGCCGGGGGATGGGCCACACCCAGCGGCACAACAACTCCACCAGCTTGAAGCACCGCGAGCATGGCTACGCCGGCCCATCTAGACTTATCCATGCACAGCCCGACCATGGTTTCTGCGCCAACTTGCAAAGTCTGGAGATACCAGGCCAACTGGTTCGCTTGGGTCGCCAGTTCCTGGTAAGTTAGATTGCCGTCCCAGGCACAGATGGCGGTGGCATCGGGGTGTTGGGCGACTTTCTCTGCCACGAGGTGATGGATGCACCGCTCAATGCGCGGAGGTGCGGTACGATTCCACTTCAGGATGGCAGCCCTATCCTCGGGGCTAACGAGAGAGATATCGCCGAGTCGCTCGCGGCCGGAGCGGGTGCTGTAGAGCTGCTGCACCACATGTTCCAAGCCGCGCACGAGTCGCTGGACGTGAGGACCTGGAATAACATTCTCATCGTAGCGTGTTTCCACGGTGATGGCGTCGTCCCCAACCGAGCACTGCACAGTCAAGCCGTAGATATCGAACCCCTGTAAATTGACAGGCAGCGCCTCCAGACCGGGCAAGTTGGTTCCCTCGTCGCCCCAGTCTGCCTGGATGGCCAGCAAATTACGCACCTCGAGCACGGGGCGGAGCTCGGGCACCAGCTTCCCAATCCCGTGCAAGCCGGCGTGCTCGAACTCGATCATTTCCGTCGCCTGCTGTTGCACCGTGCGCAGGAAGTCGCGCACTGACTGGTCCGGGTCGACATCGACACGCACCGGCACGGTGGTGATTGTCGGCGCTGCCAGTTCGGCCACCTGCCACACTGGAAGATTGCGGCCGGCGAGCGTCATCCCGAAGACCACGCGGTGGCCTTGGCCCGCCTGTCTGGCCATAAGCATCGCCCATGCAGCCCGGATAATGGTGGGCAGTAGCGAGGCGGGGTGATGGTGGACCGCCGAGCGCGGCAGGCGCATCGTGTAGACGTCGCGATGCATGGGCCGGGGCTGATAGTCTGCCCGAGGCAAGGGGGGCCAATTGACAACCAGGTCCCCCTGGAGCTTCGTCGACCAGTATTGGGCGTCGGAGGCAGAATCTCGGCGCAGCAGATGCCGGATGAACCGGCTGTAGGGAACCGTGGGAGGGATGCGGTCATGAAGGTAAATATCGGCCAGGTGTCGGTACAGCAGAGCGGCGCTCCACCCGTCGTAGACGCTGTGATGCGCCGTCCAGACCAGGAGGCGCTCGGTGGGATGCTGAACCAGCGCAAAGCGCACCAGGGGCTGACCGAGTTGGATGCCCTGCGTCTCATCTGCAGCCACGTACTGATCGAGATCGGTGCTATGGTGCCAGACCAGTGGACTTCGGACCACCACTTGCAACGATCCGCCCTGACTGCCCTCCTCCAGGTCCACCACGATACGCGTGCGCAGGATGGGGGTTACGGCGGCCAACGTGTGCCAGGCTGCCTGGAAGCGATCCACGTCGATCGAGTTGCCTAGTCGGTACACCTGTCGACTCACGTAGGCCGTGGGCTGGTGGGCAGTGACTGCGATAAGACCCTCCTGGATCGAGGTACAGGGGTAGATGTCCTCAATATCCTCCACCGCGACACCACATTGTTGAGCAATGCGTGCGAGCCGTTGTTGAAGAGTGCTGCTTGGGGATTGCGCGTCTCCAGACACTTGCCACAGAGCAAAGGGTTCCGGATCGGCCTCTTCGGTCTGCTTCTCCCTGTTCACCATGGCCCGTCCTTCCAGAGTGCGAGCGAGATCTGACAGAATGGGATGTTGGAAAATCTCCGCGACAGTCAGGTGGAGTTCACGCGCGTCGGGGATTGCCACCACGCGCATCGCCGCGACAGAATCACCGCCAATCTGGAAGAAGTCATCCTCGCGGCCGATGGTGCCTGGTGCGATGGCCAGCGTCTTGACCCACCAGTCACGCAACCGTTGCTCCATCTCCGTCGAGGGCACCGCTTTGGGTCCTGCATTTGGCATGTATTGTTGCAGGTCCGATGTTGACAGGCTGTTCAGGTATGTGCGTAGAGCCTGCCGGTCGAGCTTCCCCGACGCATTGATGGGCATCGCTTCCACCGGGATGTACAATGTGGGCACCATGTACGCTGGGAGAGACTGTAAAAGCTTCTTCCGTAGGTCTCCTGTAAGGGAACGCAGCATGTCATTCCCGTATGAGGTGTTCCCAACGAATTCCATTGCGGCCACCAAGTACATCTGAGCGCCGCGCTCCACCAGCTCCACCGCGACGGTGCCCAACCCCTGAAGATGCTGCGCAATGTTGTACTCGATATCGCCCACATCCACACGTTGACCGCGGATCTTGACCTGCTGACTATTGCAGCGGCCGAGATAGAGCAGAGATCCATCCGGATTTTGACTGACCAGATCACCGGTCCGGTACATACGACGTCCGGTTTTCGGGAGACCCAGCTGTGTTATAAACTGCGGGTCGACGACGAAGCTGGCCGTGGTCTTCGCCTCGTCGTGGAGATAGCCACGGGCCAGTAGGGGCCCTTCGATCAGCAGCTCGCCCGGGGCGCCGATGGGACACAGAGTCTGGTAGTCGGTCGCCTGCACCACCCAAAAGTTGGACGCCATGGGCCGGCCAATGTTACGAGCCTGGTCAATGTGGAACAAGCGTTGGCTGTTCGAGACCACAATGGAGCATTCCGAGGGGCCGTAGGAGTTGAACACGCTCGCTCGTCGGGCCCAGGTCGACAGGATCGCAGGCTTTAACGGCTCTCCACTTAGGGCTAACGTGGTCAGTGAGGGCACCATCGCCGGGGAGAGGGTGGCGGCCACCGTGGATGTCAGTTCCACGTAGGTGACCTCCATACGCGCAGCTGTCGCGGCCAATGCGTTCATGCGCTCCTCCTCGGACGGCACGCAAACACATCCCCCGGCCTGCAGGGTGGTGAAGATATCGCACAAGCTGACGTCAAAGGTGTAGGCCGCGAATTGCAGTGTCCGTGTATATTGATCAATCCCCACAGCAGCTGCATGTGCTATGAGGCTGGTACACAGCGATCGGTGCTCCAGTACCACACCCTTTGGGGTACCTGTACTTCCTGACGTATATACCACCCATGCTGCGTTCTGTGGCGTGACGCCGGTGTGCGGCGGTTCTGTATTGGGGCTCAGGCTCGCTATCAGAGTGGCATCAACAACCAGCGTGTTCAAGCCGTCATTATCCACCCGGTCTTGCTGGCTCTGGTCGACGAGAATCACGCGCGGGCCAGCGTCCTGCACAATACTTCGCAAGCGAGCCAGTGGGCTACGGACCGATAAGGGCAGGACTGCAGCGCCCGCCTGGAGAATGGCCAACATGGCCACCACCGCCCACTTGGACTTGTTCATACACAGTCCCACTGTCTGCTCAGGGCCAACACCCAGGCCGACCAGGTAATGGGCTAGGGCGATACTCTGGCTTGCTAAATCGGCGTACTGCCACTGGCCATCCCATGCGTCGACGGCAAGGGCCGTCGGCCGCAACCGCACCTGTTCCGCGATCAGATCGTGAATACACCGGTCCACCGATGCGGGCACGGTAGTGTTCCATTCTAGGAGCTGCTGCTGGTCGGAGGGAGAGATTCTCACGGCCTCCTGCAAAAGCCGATCTCGAGCCGACGGACGGCTGAGCTCCTGCACCAAGAAGGAGAAATGGTCCATGACTTTGGTCAGGTCCGCGGGGGCGATCACCTCGTCATCGTACATGACCTCTACAGCCACGGCGTGGCGCCCCAAAGTACACTCCACGTTGACGGCGTAGCTGTCGAAATCATCCAGGGGCAGCGGCACCGGGCTGAGTCCCGGAAAGGCCTGGTAGACGTCGCGTTCGGAGGCGGGCTGAATGATCAGCAAGTTCTGGAGGTCCAAGGCCCCGCTCAATTCTGGTAACATGGTCTTTATCGTCTGCAGCCCGGTATGCTCATACTCAATCATATCCGTCGCGTGGCGCTGCACGGCCTGCAAGAATCCGCCTACGGTCTGCGTGCGATCAATGCAGATTCGCACAGGGACAGTGGTGATCAGGGGGGCGGCGATCTCTGCGACCTGCGAGACAGGGGCATTTCGGCCCGACAAGGTGGCCGCGAAGATGATATCGTCCTGGCCGGTGTACTGAGCCAGGACGAGCGCCCAGGCGGCGCGCAGAATATGCGACATCATGACCACTCCCTGCTCGACGCCGTCGAGCATCAAGATCTCGCCTTTGAACTGGGTCCGGGGACTGGGCTGATAGTTCGGCCTGGGTAGCGCCGGCCAGTGCGCCATCGGATTCTCCCCCCGCAGTTGGCCGTGCCAATAGTTGGCGGCGAGGACCGGATCTTTACCTTCCACGTAGCGCACGAAGCGCGTGTAAGGAATTGAGAGGGGCAGCTGGTTGTGGAAGTAGATGGCGGCGAGGCGGCGATAGAGCAGGGTTGCACTCCATCCATCGTAGACACTGTGGTGCGCGGTCCAGACAAAGATCGCCCCCCCGCCGTTCGTGTCGTCCGATCTGGGGATGAGACCCCACCGGGCCAAGGGCTGCCCGAGCCGCATTCCTTCTTTGCGATCCTCCGCCAGATAGCTTTTCAGGGTGGTGCCATGTCGCCAGGGGATGTGTTTGCGGCTCACCACCTGCAACGCCCGGCCGCGCGGGCCCATACAGATGCGGGTGCGCAGAATGGCGGTTCTCGCGATCAAGGTCTCCCAGGCCGCTTGGAACCGCTCGAGGTCGATGGTGGGTGCCAGGGTAAATGCGCGGCGGTCGACGTAGGCCGCAGCTTTACGGGCCGTGATGGCCACCAGACCTTCCTGCAACGGGGTGCAGGCGTACACATCTTCGATCATATCAACTTCGATCCCACATTGCGTCGCCACCCGCTCCAGAAGTAGAGGTTGTTCTTCGGGACTTGCCTGGCTGTAGTCCTGCCACAGGCTGAAGGGTTCGGATTCGGCTTCCTCGAGTGGAGAGGCCCTCGTGGGCATCGGAGTCGTGGGTTGTGCATTTTCTCGCGAGGGCCGTACTTTGACGGTCGAGAAGAGCTCGGTAATGCTGGTGGCATTGATTATTGCGCCCGTCTGAACCTCCATTCCTCGCTCCTCGCAGCGCGCAATCAGGTTGATCGCGGCTATGGAGTCCCCGCCCAGTCCGATGAACGATTGCGACGCATCTAGCTTGTCGACGTCGATGCTGAGTACCTCGGCGCAGATGCTTTGGAACTCTTCTTCGTGGGTTGTTGCTCTTGGGACGTCGACAAGGACCGTTGTCTCCGTCTCATTCTCCGGGGATTGGAGTGCACTGTTTTCTGGGGTCATGGTGTTTGTGGGTGAGTTAGGTTATTACTTACTATTACTTACTGGATGTCGAAGAATGGCTTGAGGTTCGAGGAGAGGAAGAAGCACACGAAAAGACCCCTCTGATGCTGATGCTGATGACTCGTGCGCTCGATTTGTCAGATGTGCTGCCCGTGAGAAGACGGAGTCGACGAGACAAGGGAGGTGAACTTTCCGCGACCGAACGTGGAAAGATTGTTGGATCAATCATCCATGAGCAGGGCATTGATCTACCTATATTACCCGGTGTGTACCATAGCTCAGAGAATCTATCCTTGCTGCGAAACAGCCTTATGGTGGACCTGGACCCGAACGCTTGAAGCCTCGACTTAGGGCCCATTCTGGTCACGCTGCCACATGGTGGAGGGGGGGCAGATGGGGCCGCGGGCAACATGGTTCCCCACCTCTCATGTCTTCTTTTCTGTTTGGCTGCTTCTTTGCTTTTCGTCCGACCCCTCTGCATTCACAGCCTAATTCAGCCTCACTATTTGGTTCTTTTAACCTGGCTGTGGCTGGAATCAGGGTGGATGGTTGCCTTAGTCAGCGACGGCTCTCGGATGTAGCCTGCGTTGCTCGTCGAGGGCTGAGTCATGCACCCTGCTGGACGTGTTTAGGTCGTAATAAGAGGCGTAAAGGAAATCAGAGCAGTGACGAATGCTGTCCTTCTAGGCTTCGGCTTTTTTCATTCTTCGTTTCTTATTTTTCGTCTCTCATCTTTTATTTTTTCCTGGCTCCCTTGCCCATGAGTCGCTCGGAAAGGCCTTTGGCGGGCGCGATGACTACCACCCGCCACTACAAGCCTCGTAGAACCACACCAAATAAGTACCTAGTAAATACTTGTCAGTAATGAATTGGGTATATACCATCGTGATAGTTTCTGTGTCGTAGAAGACAGACTCCTTGTTTTGTTTCGGATGGTTTACATAAACCCAGAGCCGTAGCCAAGTTCAGAATATATATCCAAATCGCAGCATGGATTCAGCATTGTCTGCGCAAAGGAGATGGTGTAATAGACCACCAGTGGCTTATTTATTTCATGCCTAGAACTCCTCGTGCAATAGAATTGCAAAGGACAAGGCCGGTGGTCGAGCCATCAATTACTCTGGCAAGAACGACCCTGATGTCGCCAGCCCTTTTATCGCCCTGCTGGCAATGCTCTGCATGGGACCTCTTCCCCCCACCCTCTCTCGAACCCTTAAAATGTTCGTCGCAGAGACGACTGACAAGACATATTGCATTCTCGCAACAATCAATTGACACAGGCGTCGTGTGCATGCTCCTACAGTATGCTGCCTGAACTAATCCTGGCGGGAGAACCGAGACTGCTGCTGCAGGCAGCCATCGGCATCATCATCGTCCTCCTTTTTCACCAACTGGTGCTGGCGGACTCACACCAGCATCATCAGTTCTGGAAGAAGCAGCCATGGGTGGGCGTTCGCGTCGAGTGGTTTTCCAGATTCCGGGCCTCGCTGCGCACCATCCGCGACATCCGGCAGATGCTGGAGGAGGGCTATGAGAAGGTTGGTCGGTTTCCCCTCGCTCGCCCTCTCTCTCACACCTTCCGTCCCATCTCGCTGACGTGCACAGTACTCCAAACAAGGCCGGGCGTTCGTGCTGCCCACCATCGCGGAAGCACCCTGGGTCGTCCTGCCACCGAGCAGCATGCGCGAGCTGCTGGCCAAATCGGACCGAGAGCTGGACCATGAGATCATCCATGCCGATCAATTACAGCACTACTACACCCAGGGCCCGCTGGGATGGCACTCGGTGCAGGTGCCCCTTCAGTTCGATCTGGTGCGCCGGCAGCTGACGCGCCAGCTGCCGCTGGTGCTGCCCATCTTGGCGGATGAGGTCGACCGCAGCTTCCGGCAGTACTGGGGCACGCGGCACACGGCATCGACGGAGGTCAAGGTGAAGGTATTCGAGACGTGCACGCAGATCGTCACCCGCGTTGCCAACCGCGTCTTCGCCGGCCCGGATATCTGCCGCAATGAGGCCTTCCTGCATCACTCGCGCCAGTATTCTGAAGGCGTTGGGCGCGCAGGCATCATCATCCGCCTGGTGCCGCGGTGGCTGCGTCCGCTCCTCGCGCCGCTAATCACATATCCCAATCGCAAGAATCTCCAGATCTGCGTGAACATATGTATGCCGGTAGTGCAGGATCGGCTGCAGAAGACCCTCGCGCAGGATCCCGCCTGGAAGGCACCGGTTCGTGGACATTCTCCTCCAATGCCTCCTCACTCTCAAGGAGTCTCTATCCCCCTCAAACATAGAGTCCCTATAAATTGACCGGTTCGGCAGGTTGACGGACTCCAATGGCTCCTTGCGGAGTGCGTGAAACGCGACGACCCGCGCGAGATCGACCCGCGGCTGATCACGCAGCGCCTGCTGATGCTGAATTTCGTGGCCATCGAAACCATGGCCATGTCCATCACCCACACGGTGATTGACCTGTACTCTGCCCCGGATTGCGCGACCTTCGTGGCGCAGCTCCGCGAGGAATGCGAGCGCGTCTGGCGCGAGGAGAACGAATCGCCACAGCCACAGCCTCAGCAACACCCCCAGCCAGACCAATGGACCAAAGCCGGCCTGGACCGACTGGTGCGAGTGGACTCGACGATCCGGGAATCGATGCGCGTCTCAGATCTCTCGTACATCGCGGTGCCGCGCATGGTGGCGCCCGCCATGGGACTGGACTTCGACCAGGGGCTGCTGCATCTCCCGCGGGGCGTGCGCGTGTGTGTGCCGGCGCATGCCATCCACCGCGACCCGCTCAACTACGCCGATCCATTGACCTTCGATCCCTTTCGATTTAGTGATTCGGAGCAGAACCGGGAGAAAGCGGTGTCAATCGCGACGACGACCGATGCCTTCTTGGTGTTCGGTCACGGGCGACATGCCTGCCCCGGGCGGTTCTTCGCGGCCCAGACGATGAAGCTCATGCTGGCGTATCTGGTGCGGCATTATGAGGTGGAGCCGATTGACCACGGGCCGGAGAAGGAGGTGCAGGTTGGCACGGCGAGGCCAAGTGCCCAGCTTTGTCTGCGTGTGCGTTGGCGGGACTGATGACTGATGGCTCATGAACGGAGTGGAGGGTTCGTGGGAGGTCTTGAGAGGGAGAGGGGGGTTACGGTGGAGAAGTTGGAGTTATATAGGCGGTAGTTTCTCCAGACATTACCATTTATTTATTCTTATACCTTTCTGGCATCATGACAAGAGAAGCTAAATTATACAGCCGAGCGCTGAATCATCTCTATCTGACTGGAGCGACTCTCAACCCGATTCAACTTCAGCTGCTGCTGAGCGGAGGCATTCCAGCGCTCACGCGAAAAAACCAGTCCTGGATGAAACGCCGTCATGGCGCCGCAGGCCAGGATCATCATCACACCCTCGAGGATTATGAAAGCTACCTGGTCGTTTGCGAGGGCGCTCCCAAATCCCCCCTTCAGTTCGGCGACGCGGAAACACGAGCGGATGAAGATGGTTGTGGTTGCGACGATCAGACCTGGGCGAAGATTAATGAAATGCTGAGATGGATGAGAAAGGAGCAAGGCAAGCAAACGAACCGATCAGAAACCCCCTCCATTTCCAACCAGCGTGCCAGTCCACGGGCAGCAGCGAGGTCGACCCCTGGGCCTGGTGCCGGTGCAGTTGGAGAGCGAAGTCGCCCGCCAACGCCATGAAGGCTACCAACGAGACGACCTGGCACGCCAACCCGGCGATCATGATGTCGATGCCGAGGTCCCTGAGGCTGGTGTTGTCCGTGCCGGCGGTGGAGGTGATGGCGCCACCGGCAGACTGCAGGATCAGACACACGAGATCGCAGGCGATGAAGACCTTCGAGTACGTGGCGGGCGCGAGGCGCGAGCACCGAGCGTCGTACTCGATCACGACGCGTCCGAAGCACAGGTAAATTGCGGCGCAGATGAAGGCGGGCGCTAGAGTGAGGCAGATCAGGTACTGCAGGAAGGCGTTGAAGGAAAAGGGGTCGTCGTGCAGGCTGATGCGCCCCGCATAGCCAATGATCTCCAGTAGCAGCCCCCCCATCACCGCCACCAGGTAGCTGGTGGTGCGGTGCCACACCCCGAGAAACAGATGAAGCACTGCTGCCACGCAGAAGAGCGCCAGGAAGAGCGCGTTCCCGGCCAGCGAGGGGATATAGTGGATCATGGCATAGTCGAGACTGCACGTCTGGAGGGTGCACACAAAGGTGCTGGTGTCAGTGGTGGTGCTGTTGGTCGACATGGTGTTTACTGTGGAATGTAGAACGAGCGTGGTTTAGGGCAAAGCGAGTGGCGTGAAAAGGAGAGAGGGTAAAACGAGTGAATGACGCTGTAGCGTACAGTACAATGAAAGTGCTTGTTTGGGAGAAGAGAGAGAATGGCCGAATGGCTGAAGGAAAGTGAATGAGTAGGAAGAGAGCAGAAAACAATTCTCACAAACAGAAGACCGAAAAACAAGAGAAGATGGTTGTAGGTCGATCTGATGGAGAGGAGAGAGGCCCGCTAGGTTCATCAGGGGCACCCCATGTGCAATCGTGCCCTAACTTCAACCCACCAACCCACCCACTGGCTGGATCGCCAGCCCACTTACGCCCGTCGTGGCATTCACTCAACGACGAATCATGATGAAATAGATAGCTGCCATGTAGATAGAGATTGGACTGTGCCTCTGCCGTTGGAAACTCAGGACCGGATTTAAAACAGTGCCGAGGAGAGTGTGGAGGAGTGAGCGTCGGAGCGGCAGCGCGTGGCGCGCGTTACGGGAGTCAGAGCGTGGCACTAATTGACAGCCCAACCTAAAATCCTCGCCTCACTACTCCGGACCTAGTCTAGGCTCGTCGCGTCGTCCGGTCTAGAAGATTGAGTAATTTGAACCTGTCAGCCTTGTCCTGGGCTTGGTGGATGAGACCACCGCACCCACCTCTTCTTCTCCTGCCCCCACCCCTACCCCCCTCTTCCGCTTCTCCACCTGTCTAGATGTTCCCTGTCACTGTGAATTACTCCCAATTTATCGTAGATAGAGTGTCTTGATGCTTGAGATAACCGGCCCACTTCGCTATGCACGTGCTCATAAAATCCTCTCATTGCAAAGACAAGCGAAGCGGCTCTACTGCGTTCAGGACGTATACGAACAAAAGCGAGGAGACGATCCCTGTCAAGACCAGCCAATGTTTCATGACTCGACGCACCCGGCTGCGAGCAAGATGAGGAAGAGACCGGCCGGATGTAGGGCCTATGAATAGCACTTACCTGCCACTAGGTAAACAATGCCGAGAAACGAGCCAGGGGTATTTGCAAGATATGATTGGCCGGTTCGCTAATGACGTCACAGTTTCTGCTCAGGAGAAAATCTTACCAATCACTGCCCCGCACGCAGCAAAACCAAGCCCTGACATGCATATCGCCGCGGGAGTCGTATATGCATCAGCAGGTTTGCAAGTTTGCAGACCCGATGACAGCCAATGGGGAAAGGACTTTGCTTGCGATGAAAATAGATCTTTACATGGGAATCATAGTCATGGGAATGGAAATATATCATATCAAAGGGGCATGTGCCCGGCTAACACCCGCCACATCCGTTCGGCAGGTCCAAAGCTCTCTCTCACTCAGTACCACACTCGCAGAGTGTCGCAGAAATCCAGAATGGGGTGGAATCCGTCACACGAGCTGATTGTGTTTCTCGTCATCTGCGGATGTGTGGTGTTTGTCTTCATAGGATACGCCTTGGCTCGACTGTACGGAGGCGACACCTTCGACGGGCCTGGGTTGCCGGGGATGACGCCGGAGCAGGCCTCATACATGCGAGATGTCCGACTGCGAAACCGGGAGGACATGTTCCATGCTCTGCAGGGCATGGAGAAGGGACATCGGGGGATGGGGGTAAGGGACGTCTAGAGCTCTTCAAGGTATCAAGCCCCGCGGTCTCATTGTGCGACACCCACCGAGGAGATCTCGCTGATGAATGCCTACCGATAGATAGGACGAGACAAGGTCTCGTCGCACCGAACACGATATCGCCGGACGATTACGAACATTACGAGCACGAACTATACCGAGGTCCTCTATTTGCTTCATATGAGACGCAACGATCACTTGAGTTACGATGACGGATTGGAATTGAAGGCGTGGAGACAGAGTCGGTTCACAACGCACATTCTCGCTGGGTCAGGTTTTTATTGGCGTCTATAGATATGTACGGAACAAAGTTGCATTGAGTGAACGTTGCACGCAGCCAGGGATTGGTTTTGGCTTCAGATACCTCAAATCTACGCGGATGGTTCCTCGCTCACAGATTCCATTGTTGTCGACATGGCGAATAATAAATTGAGAGACCGAGCTATGGACCAGAATTAGGAGAGATCGACTTCACCATGCCAGCACCTCCTGCTTTCCTCTGTTTTCAGCCTGACAGCGTCCAAGATGCATCTCGGCCAGCGCAGAGGCTGGCACTGTCCCCGACCCAGGGTCGTTGCAGAGCGACTGGAAAACAGACTTGCCAAACATCTTGTACGCCGCCGCCAGCCCTTGTCGCTGGATCAAGGCCAACTCCATCTCGTCCAACACAAACGGGTACGATCGGTCACTCACAGTGACCTGTCGACGAGGCAGGTCAATCTCAATCGCCACCCCAGTCTGAGCCGCCGCGTAGAAGTCGTCGTCGGTAATGGTGAGGCCGAGGAGGCCGATGGTTGGCTGGTTGCGTCCATAGATGAAGGAGAACGATCGTGCAATCACACATTTCACCCCGAGACCTGCAACATCACATCCGTTAGAGCCAATGCCTTCTGTTTCCCTCTACCCCATCCATCTCGCAAGACGTACCTTTTAACGCTCGTGGCGCCTCCTCTCGCGACGAACCACAGCCAAACGCTTTCCCGGCGACGACGACATCCAGACCAGCGCGAACCTGATCGCGAAACTCGGGGTGAGTCAGCTCCAAGCAATGACTCCCGAGCAGGACGTCGGTTGGACTCTCCAGAATGAATGCTGCAGGGATGATCTGGTCCACGCTCCGTTAGCCATAGCCTTTTCGTCCACTCGCGCAAACGCGAACCTACCGCGTCAGTATCTACGAAATCCCCCAACCTCGAGACCCGGCTGCGTATAGTTCCTGCTGGTGCGCTGCTGGATTGCTCTTGTTTCAGCTCTGAGCTGGGTGTCTTTTTCGATGGGGTAGTAGCAGTGTGGCGAATAGACAAGTAGGGCTCGACCACAGGGGGCATAGAGGGTGAGACGACTGGGCTTGTGCTGGCCTCGAGCCGCTCTCGAATTTTGCCACGCGGCTCAGCCTTCATGCGTCGACAGCTGGCGAGTAAGGTCTGATACCTCTCGACCGACACCTGACGAAGGAGAGGACGAGGGTCTGTCAACTGCATGCTGAAAGACGAGGCAGCGACGACGGCAGCAGAGCAGATATGGCCGGTGGAACCTGAAAAGTAAGGTCAGGTCAGACTATATCAGCTTATTCCCTTGTTCTGGTCCCGGAAAACGAAGACGCACCTGGACCCATTCGGTTCTTGAAATTGCGATTCTGCGACGACAGCCAATTTTCGCCCGACCCCGCGCGGTCCGCCCCCATCCCCAGACACAGACTGCAGCTCACGGCGGGCAGTGTAAACCCAGCCTGGGCGTAGATGTCCAACAGCCCCAAAGCGCGCAGGTTGCTCACGATCGGTAGACTGCCGGGGACCACCATCCGTTTGCCGCGAGCCAGCGGCAGCCCCTTTTGCAGGCCGGCTTCGAGGACCAAGGCGCCCAGGATCAGGTCTTCCTCGGTGGTGGTGCAGGCGCCGATGAAACAGCCCTCGAACCGCATGTCGAGCCTCTCAGTCACGGGCACGACGTTGTCCGGGGACGGGTGGAGGGCAATAAAGGATTCGACCTCCTCCAGATTGATCCGGAAAGTTGCAGCATAAGAAGCATCAGCGTCCGGTTGGAAGTATAGCGATTGCGTCCTGTAGCGCGCTTGGGGCCGATCCGAGATGAATTGGCTGGTGACCTCGTCCGGGACGAAAAGGCCCGTGATGGCACCGAGTTCCTATGATTCCCCTCTCGTTGCGTTAGCCACCGTATCCGAACGCAGAGCTAGATTCCCAGGAAGACCTTACGGTGCACATGTTACAGATGGCGAACCGAGCGTCGCAGGACAGATGACGCGCCCCGGGCCCCCCGAACTCCACAATCCGATCCGCGGCATGGGTGTTGCGCTTGAGGGTTTTCAGAACGTAGAGGATCACGTCTTTGCCGCGGATATACCACGCCGGTGCGCCCACGAACTCCACGCGGATCGACTCCGGGGCCTTGAACCACGTCTCCCCAGTGGCCAGCGCCGCCATCACATCGGCTGCGCCGAGTCCGATAGCGAGGGAACTGACGGCGCCTGCAGAACAGGTGTGCGAGTCCGAGCCGAGGACGAGCATCCCTGGCTCAGCTCGTTCCCGCACAAATTCCGTATGGAGGATTGTAAACTGGACACATGAAGGTCTGTCAGCTAGCAGGAAAGAAGGACAGGGACAATCTGTTGCCGGAAGCTGACATTCGAGCCTTGGTTCTCCGTCATCTTGAACTTTGTTTTCGCATCGTGCATGCCATCAATCAACTCCCGGACTCGCGGTTGGTGATACGTCCGGGGATCCACCGTGTGATCGCCCGCCAGCCAGAACCGGTCATTTCGCCAAACCGTCGGCTCTTCCCCGATGCTGGTCATACTGTGTTTCATGCCCTAGAGAATCGTGGAATCGGGCCGGATCAGTTTCTCTGCGACGCGTCCATCTTCACAGAGGAGAAGGAGGACAGAGAAGAACCTACCACCCAGGATAGCTCACTGGCAATGATCCAGTCGACCGTGACACGGATAAAGTCACCCCCTTTCAAGCCCTCCGCGGATGGAAGCGAAAAGGCGTGGTGCGCCAGGATCTTTTCCGCCAGCGTCATGGGTCGCGTGGCGGACGCCCTGACGGACAGGGGAGAGGACAGACCTCGGGTCCTTTCGGCGGAGTTCAGCGATTCCAGCCAGGCCTCGAGGAGGCCCTGCAGCCCCTGTCGCTGTGTCTGATTGAGCAACCAGTCGACAACTGGGGTCTCAGGGAATCCCAACCCGCCGCGCTCGGTCTCCGTGTGGCACAAGTCGAGGACATATCGTAGGGTCGATGCGTCTGCGGAACGGCCGCGGGCGTCGAGCTCGGCGGCGAGTTGGGTGAGAAAGTTATCGGGACTAGAGATAATCAAGATATCGGAGTCAAGAGAAATAATCGGGGGTTCGCAGGTCAGGTACCAGATGGTTGATCCGGGCTGTCGTTCTTGAATGCTGCATTCCTCTAGTTGAATCCCACGAGTGTCGGCCAGAAGCTTCACCACCGCGCGCACGAAGGCCCGCCCGTCTTCGGGGAGACTTTGGTCTTCTAAGCTCAAGCTAAGTCCTGGAGTAGACATTGTGCGATTGTGCGAGAATCGATAGGAATTCAGTCGCTTTGCGGGGCGGGGCTTGGGCTTTTCATATGCGCGGTGGAGGAGGGGCTGGCGTCGAGGAATCACCCACTTTGCTTACGATTACAACGTATTTGTGGAACGAATTGTACTTGGTTAATTCTGTTCAAGCCTTCTAACAGGTCGTGGAAGCTTAGATGATTAGAAATGTGATTGTTTCACCCAACGCTATTTTGGAGGGGCTGCGGGCAGGCAGGCAACGATTATTCTTGCTTCTTGCCCTAAACAAGCGGGATACATTCCATTCTGTGATGGATATATAGATAACTCTACCGCAGGTACAGATATCAGACATGTCACAATTGACTCCTCGCCTCACGCATGATCCTTCAAATACGCAACGACTGCGTCGCCGAACTCCGTCGTGGAAGCCGTACCACCGACATCTCTTGTCCGGCAACCTCGTTCAATGACCTCCTTGACAGCTGTTTCCACAGCCTCAGCTGCGTCCGGCATCTCAAGGGAGTAGCGAAGCATCATGGCGACCGACAGGATCATACCCGTCGGGTTAATGATACCTTTACCCGCAATGTCGGGGGCGGATCCTGAGCCGCATAACTGACATCAGCGGAACAGAGCCTGTCGCATACAAGAGGAGGACACTTACCGTGAACAGGCTCGTAGATGCCGCGCACTCCATCGCCACCATCGGGGTCAGGAATCGCACAGAGACTCGCACTAGGAAGCAGCCCCAAACTGCCGGGGATGGCGCTGGCTTCGTCGCTCACAATGTCGCCAAACATGTTACTTGTCAAGACGATGCCATTCAACGTCGTTGGCCGGCACGCCAGGGTCATGGCCGCCGTATCGATGAGCATATGCCGCAGAGTCAGGTCAGGGAACTCGGTGCGGATGGTCTGCTCCACGACGCCGCGCCAGAGTCGACCACAGGCAGCCAGCAGATTGGCCTTGTCCAGGCTCGTGATGGGCAAGGGGGGATCTGTCGCGCGGGCCAGTCGCGCAGCCAGCCGTGTGACCCGCTCGATGGCGTGCCGGTCATAGTGGTCGAGGTCTGAGGCTGCGTTGAAGGTCCCATCATGTTCCTGACGATCCCCGTAGTAGATGCCGCCGCTGAGCTCGCGAACGATGAGGAGATCCGCGCCCCGGCACACGCGCTCCTTTAGACTGGACGACTCGATCAAGGCGGGAGCGATGAAGTTGATCGGTCGCAGGTTGCCAAACGCGTCCATGGCTTTGCGTAGTCTCCCTAGTCCGGACTCGACAGGAATCGGACTCCCTTGCCATGCCTGTGGAAAGGGTCCTATCGCGTCAGTGTCAGGCGTCTTTCCCATGGATTTCTTTCGCGACGATGATGGGACTCTTCTCACATACCGGACCACCCACGGCGCCTAGAAGGACCGCTGATGCGTTCTGCGCATGTTGGAGAGCCTCCTCAGTTACAGGGGTGCCATACGCATCAAAGGCTGCCTATCCCATCCTCCGCAACGTGAACAATTAGCGGTGATATTCTTCACCCATAAATTTGCCCGTTGGGGTGGATTAGGAAGCAAACATACTCCGCCGAGAAGATGATGTTTGAGGTTCAGTGTGACCCTCGTTTGGTATTGCCTCTGGATCTCTCCTAGAACCTGAGGTAGTTCACTATCAGTCCTGTCGCCTTGCGGACACCCAACTGGATCCGGGGGCACAGTACCTTCAGGCCTTCTGCCATCACCTCGGGACCCCCGTAGTCGCCTGAGAACACGACGATATCATGCGTCTTGACCATTGTCACCGGAGAAATTGTAGCTATTGGTGAGATGTAAGAACAATTCTGCGCTGCCGCTGAAGACAAAGAAGCAGTACAAAGCGATGTTTATCAAGTAGACGTGTGACGGGGGAGAATGCTCTTTAGGGCTTCTGAGACATTGTCTACGCTGGTCGACGATCGCGAATGAACCCAGTCGCGATCGTCTGGTCACAGTTTTGCAAAAAGATAAATACTTTTCCGGTCATCAAGCATTAAGTAGTAGTATGATGGGACAGTGACTGTCAGTCCAATATACATAACTGGCTTGGATGTGCTTACCGATGAGTCAAGGAGAATGGCTGGTGGTGTAGCCTACAGCGGGAAATGCAGCCCTGACTAAGCAAGATGTCTTCAAATGAAGCACTCAACCCGACACAGAAAGAGCTAGAAAAGGGGTGAGATGAGATGATTATTACCGTTCATATGGCACCTCGTCTACTCGGGACCTCTTCGAATCTTTTATCACACGTGGTGGGGGAAGACAGCCACAATGACTGGCGCTTGGTAAGCCCTAACCCGGTCCTGCAGTGCCTGGCTCCCAGGCCATGTGCAAAGAAAAGAACCGCGATCCCCACCCATAGAACAATAGAATGAAAGCAGTTTGGCAGAGACCCAGATATCCAGTCGGTCAAGGCTAAGACCAACGCAGCCCACGCAGAACACCCAAATGTCGACAACTTGTGCGGGCGGCCAAAGCCTACAGAGCAAGTATGGCGGCCGGGCTCCTCCCCACGTCCACCTCCCTGACCGACAATGGCCATCAAAGAAGTTGACCAAGTCCCCCATTTGGCTGTCCACGGATCTTAGGGATGGCAATCAAGCTCTTCCCAACCCCATGGTGCGCACGAACCCAAGGTTCCTCGTCTAAGGAAGAGGTTTCAGGAACCGGACGAAAGCTAATCCGCCATGCCATGGCCATGCATGTAGACAGTCCAGCAGAAATGGCAGATGTTCCGCCTGCTGGTAGCCATTGGGTTCAAGGAGATTGAGGTTTCTTTTCCTTGTGCCTCGGACACCGAGTTCAATTTCACGCGGGAGCTCGTGGAGACCCCCGGGGCGGTGCCGCCAGATGTCAGTCTGGAAGTGATGACTCCCTGTCGGAAGGACACGCTCAAACGCGCGGTCGAGAGCCTCAAGGGAGCCAAAAAGGCTATTCTCTTCACCTACCTCGCGACCAGCGACAACTACTGCGAGACTATCCTGCAGCAGCCGGCGGAGACGGAGTGGTTGGCGCGGGTGACGGAGTGCATCGAGTACGCGCGATCGATCACGAAAGACGACCCGGAGGCGCAGGACACGCAGTGGACGCTGGGGTTCGGCTTCGAGGACTTCGCGAATGCGCGCCCCGAGGCGGCCCTCCGTCTGGCGGCGACGATCCAGGCCGCGTGGAAACCCACCCACGAGCAGCCCGTCATCTTAGGGCTCGCCTCCAGCGTCGAGGCCACCACCGTCAACGTCTTCGCCGATCAGGTCGAGTATTTCGCACGCCACCTCCGGAACCGCGACACGGTCTGCATCTCGATCCACACGCACAATGACCGCGGGGGCGCCGTCGCCGCCGCCGAGCTCGCGTGTCTGGCGGGCGGGGATCGCGTCGAAGGGTGTCTGTTTGGCAACGGCGAGCGCGCCGGCAACCTCGATCTCGTTACGGCGGCCATGAACTACTTTACGCAGGGCATCGAAATGGGCTTGGATCTCTCGGACCTGCCGGCCATCCGGCGCGTGTACGAGGAGGTCACGCAGCTGCCCGTCCACCCGCGCACCCCGTACTCCGGCGACTACTACTTCCGAGCCTTCTCCGGGGCCCATCAGGATGCCATCCGCAAGGGATTGAACAGGCGCGCCGCCAGCTCGTCGCGGAGTGCGTGGCGGGTGCCGTACTTGCCTCTCGACCCGGCCGATCTGGGCATCTCCTTCGACAGCGTGATCGGCGTGAACAGCCAGAGCGGCAAAGGGGGCGTGGCCTGGCTCATCCAGCAGGGACTCGGCCTGAGCCTGCCCGGCGAGTTGGCAGCCCATTTCAGTCGTATCGTCAAGACACAATCCATCGCATGGGAACGAGGTCTGGCTGCCGAGGAGGTCTGCGCGCTGTTTCTGGATTCCTACGACCACGACGCCTCCTACCGAGCACGCATCCTCGGACAACAGCAACAGGGTTTCGGCGTGCTGTTCCAGCAGCCCGCCTGCCCGCACGAGCTAGAGGATGCCACGGAAGAGGCGAGTCGGATTGCAACCCTCATGTCTCAGGCACTGCAGCTGCCCTTCCGGTGCCAGATGGCCGCCTTCCACCCCCTACCCGCGGAGCGGCAGCAGGGCTTGGTGGTCACATTCGCATATTGCGTGATTGGAGATGGTTCCGAGAAGTCTTGGGGCATTGGAGTGGGTGTCGGTAAAGATGAGGCCATTTATGCGACACTCCTGTCCATCATTCAGGTTAGAAACTCCCGCCTGACATAGTATTACTTCCGTGGGTCCGATTATACTAATGCTCCGATTACACAGAAACGATCTGTGCGCGTTATCGATCAGCCTTGGGCAAGCCTGGACGTGAAGAGCACAATGGAACGCAATGAAATAATCTCTAATAATGACCTTGGTCACAGTCGGTTCCAAGAAATCATCATTGGTTGAGGAGAGCTGGGGTGAAGGGGGCTCTATTTTGATGGCAAACCATATTTTTTTAGTATTCATGTTGCAAATTGCACTCGCACAGTATTCTTGAAATCTATATGACCCCATCTCATGTGCTAGAAGCCCCTGCAGTCGAGCCACAGCCGACATGACAGTTTAGAGCCCTATGTACGACCTGGAATGGACAGTAAAGATATGCGATGGTATTACAAAACACAAAGTAGAATAATTCACTATCACACCACTACACTTGCGCTGTACCCATACTTAGCTACTATGCTCCAGGGTTCCGACAAGACATCAGCCATAAGTGCGGACCAACTTCTGCTGCATATATTCCAACGCAGTCAAATGATCATCGTACTCCGACTTGATGCCAGGCCGCACGAACGCCGGCAGCGAGTCGACCAGCACCTCACGATCCGGTTTCCCAAAGTAAGCCACCGAGTACCGAGGGGCCAGCATCGCGGTGGAGTGCACATCCGTCCCCTGCGGCAGACAGACGCGATGATTCGCCGAGCGCAGCTGCTTGTTGGTCCAGCGCTGCAGACAGTCGCCGACATTGATGATCACCTCGTACACGTCCTCCGACTCGACGGGGATGAAGCTACCCAACTGGCGCTGGTCCTCGACTTGCAGCCCGCCCACCGAGTCCTGCAGGAGCAGGGTCAACGTCCCGAAGTCGGAGTGCTCGCCGATGCGCTTGCCAGACCCCATGGACCGCGCCGGGATGGACGGGTAGTGCAGCAGGCGCAGCTCGCTAGTGTTGCTCTGGTGTTTGGCGATGAGATGGTCGGCGGGTAGCCGGAGGCCGGCGGTGATGGCGCGCACGAGGTGGCCGTGCAGCTCGTGGAAGTCGTCGTAGATCCCCTCCATGAAGGTGCGGAAGCCGGGGAGGTCGGTCTCGTCGACCCAGCGGTTGGGGAAGAGCTCGTCGGTGGCAGCGCCTTGGTCGAAGGATTCCTGGAATAGCGGGCTGTTAGCGATCTGCCTTGACACCGGAGGTGGTCCTTGCAGTGGCTGGCTAATGGCCCATACATACACGATATTCCTGGTAACTATCCGTCTGCTGCTCCCCTTGCTCGAACTTGGAGATCTGCCACACGCTCTCTTGGCCAATGGCACTCCAGCCTCGATGGGGGTTCGGCGCGGCCGGGTGCGCTGCCTTCACTTTGATGTCGTCTGGGAGATCGAAGAATCGCTTGTTCTGTGTGTCGTTATTACAATTAGCCCGCACATCTCGCATAGGTTAGCTTCGACGCCATATCACATAACTCACAAATTCGAACAGCTGGTCAATCTTCTCTTTTGGAAGTGACGAGTGGCGAATCTTAGCAAATCCATAGACACAGAGCGTTTCACAGAGTTCATCGCAGAATTGTTGTCGCTCTTGCGCATCGTCGCTGCGATAGCGGCGGAAGTCTAATGATTTGATAACCATGGCTGTTAAAGGCGATTTGATGGGACAGAGCTTAGGGGGTCTTCACCCAATGTGATTGACACAAGTGACTGTGATTGCTGTATAGATCTACGCACCCCGTAGCGGATGAATCGCGGATCACTATATATGCTTCTGTGGGGTCCCCAGCCCTCCGTCGCCCACTGGCTTCGTCTGATGGAGGTCAGACATGAAACCTGGGTCCAGTGGGCGCATCCCGGAAGTGGCTGTACCGTAGCATCCCCAGACAGCCACGGCACGGTTCATGAAGCCGGCAAGGCTGAGTGCATGCTCTGCATTTCCCACGTTGCCGCCCCCACACAGGATCCTGAAGGGATTGCACTCCGATGCCGGCGCAGCTACTAGCGCCGTTCTCAATATTCGCAGAGTCTTAGGGATAATCCAAGTTGCAACCAAGAGTCTTTTTCTTCTTCAGACCTGGTTACCGTGTGTAGAGGCCCAGAATGCGGCACCCAAATGTCACGTACAGACATACCGGATAGGCGAGGTTTTTGGATCTTAACATGAAGATTTATACAAGCACAGCCAATGCCACTTCCGCAGCATACCCCGTCAGTATCCATGTACTCAGGGTTGTGAACAAATCCCCTCCTCTCGTGCATTGACAAATTGAGATCACATTCTTTGTCCTACCCCGATATGGAGCCTGTCGTCCTGACTTTAAAAGGACTAGTCCTACTATCAGGAGGCGATGACCCACCACACAATCAAGCCCATCAGCGCGTGAGGATACTGCAGGCATAATAAATGGTGTGATAAACCTCCTCACAACATTATCCGAGGAGGAAAATCTGTTGCGGATATTGCTTATAGGGCTATGGCCCCATTTGATATGTTTTGGAACCACGGAAAGCCAGAGTCGCTCACGCAACATATCAAATGCCGACACCGCAGTCATCTCTTGCAAAGGTCTCGAGCGCGCGCCAAGGAGAAGGCGAATCTTTCTCAACATTCTATCCCCGCTTTGAGGAACGAACAAGGATCGCAAAGACAAGCAGTGCCCCTGATTATGGAAGTTACTACGTATAACGGCTCCAGATCACGCGGATCTAGTCGACCTGAGCAAGGTCGATTGCCAACAGACGGCATCCCTCATTTGATCAAGATCGCGAACTGATTGTGAACAGATATCACGGATTCTCGTCATGGTCATCAAAAGGAAAATGGTGAACAACCGCTGTTTTCTCCATCTCGGTGCTTGAATGTTCCATCAAAACATTCTTGATGCTCTGAATGACCGCCTTGGACCGTGCAAACTCATCCTCATCTGGAACCCAGCCCAGGGCATCGGTCCCGATAAGGTCCCTTATCTCGCCCAGCTCCCGTAGTAACTCCTGTTCCTGGCGGTGGTCCTCCGCGAATTTCTGTATCTCTTCCTCCGAAAACTGAACCGGACACTCCACAGAACCAGTAGGTGTTCCGTCATCCAGTGACATCGGCCAATTCCTGAGTGCCTGCATCATTGCATACTTCAACGAGACCGAGTCTCCTTCCCAGGGAGCCTGTGCATGATGAAAATTCTTCGCGCGGAGCATGCAGTTTTCAGTTCGGATAGCGTCAAAATGATCCGGCAGGGAGTTCATGGTCAATGCTACATAGTAAAAGTGCACGATCCGTCTCCGCATTATCTCCCGAACCGCCGCCTGTTCTTCATGGTTGAGTTGGTCAAAATAATCCGGCAGTTTGACCTCGGGCTTCGATAACGTCTCCGACACGGGATCGCCCCAATTCTGAAAATGGTCGGGGATGCCAGCGCACAGGCAGAGGGGCAGAATGACTGCATGCTGCCAGTCGATGATCCCGACCACCTCGTTGGACGTATTCACCAGGATATTGTTGGGCGAAAAGTCCGGATGCCGAAGGGTCGGGCGAGACATGCGGTGGTCGGATGGAACGTCGAGACCAGGCGCTAGCTTCAAGTAATCGGCAAGGAGATGCTGGTACGGAATGGGTGAGAGGGGTTGGTACTGGTGTAGTTCTCGCAGGTATCTTTCAACGTGTAGTCGTGGTTTGCCAAACTTTTCACAAAACTCCATCTCGCGCTTAGCAGGTGCTTCAAAGCTTGAAGAGAATGTAGTCCCTGACTCAGAGTCAGTGTTTTCCGAAACCAAGAACGATAGGGCTACCCGAACGGAGACTGACACGGACCGCGGTCAATGTCCAGAGACGCCCGTTCCCGATACCACCATGTTGTGCGGTTGGACCCACGACAATGTCGTCCGAGACCGGGATCACGCGTTGTGAGCTTCCAAGATCACAGCGGTGGTAGAGACTCCCGCTTGCTGGGAAGCGGATGCTCATGAAACGTCTCTCCACATCCACAATTTGTCGCATGAGTTTGACACGAGTTTTGGTGTCCATGGAGTACCACTGGGCGCTCAAGGGTATTCCTTCAAGTCTTTCCAAAAGAATGTACTCGGCACCAACGGCGTTTGTCTGATCTGGGGAGTAGGCAAGGACTTTGGGGACGGGGACCTCATGAGCACGCAGATTGGTGAGTGTGGCCGCTTGACTGGCCACTGCATGATGTTTGGGAACGGTCGTCTTATACGGCAATCTTACCAGGACTGCATATCCACCATCGAAGGTGATTTGTAAGACGCGGTTGAAGCCCCCCTCGGCGAGCTTCGTGATCGCAGCCACGTCATTAAGACGGCGACCGACGGAATGGCAGGCAGCCCTAGCAAGGGCATCCACGTCGAACTGAACACGGCGTTTGGCGCGGCGGATCTCTTCATTGAATCTGGTCAACCGCGAGCACGTCAGTGTATTGTGACTATTGTGACTGGGCGCGTCCAGCAGGTAACCAGCCACAACTCACAAAAAGCGCCCAGAAGTGTACTCAAAGATATCAGAGTCGCCTCTCGAAGAAGAGGACATCCTCCTGGGTGACGCCTTGAAGCATTGACTGAAATATTTGGGAAAGTGTCGCATATTCGACCAGATGGCTGTCAGCCTAAGCTGCTCTTATTGATGGGCGGCATGATACAGAACCAACAGCAGAAGGAACAGGAATAGGAAGAAACAGAGAGAAAATGAGCGAGACTGATGTGCAGCAGCACTGTACACTTTTCCTACTAGCGCCGACGGTACCTTAGGCAAGGCAGTTCCTGAAAAATATGCAGATAATATCAATCTCCTCGTTGTCTATCAGGAAGACCATATCGGCCTCGCTATTGCAGGTATTCCGCAAGACGTACTTCTGTCTGTGGGTGAAGCTGCGCGGATTTGTTGAAGTTCTGCGTCCAACACTACAGCGTCGTCTCCAAGGAGTCAAATCTATTGGTGATAGTTGCATAAAGAGACCTAAATTGACTCATCTGAACAAAAAAGTGTTAGAGAGTCGGACTTCATCTCTCTTGCCAAGCGTGGGCTGTATTCCGCCGTCGTATGGTTGGTCCATCCTGCTTCAAAAGCGTAACTTCAATCCCCAGCCATGCATAGGCGATAGACAGATATGATACTTGTTCAACCGCCGGGAAGCCTCAACAAGTCCATTCCTTCTTCGAGATGTTCGCTCTGAACGTGCGAGACATAAAGACCCCAAGCTCCTGGGAGAGTGGAGTGGTCTAAAGTTACCCGTCAAGCCGGAATAGAGTATTCTAAATGACCATATCTGCAATTTGGAACCAAACAGGCTTCGCCATAGGATGAGTAGCTACAGCGCGTGCCATTTGCTCCAAATATGTTGGTAAACTGTTCCATCTACAGCCTGGAAATCACAAGTGGATAACTTCAATCGAGTGCATCAACGCCGTGGGCGGGGCGCTGCCACTGTACTTGATCTTCGAAGCTAAGGTTCATAGCGAGGCATTAAGCTGTTGTTCCAAACAATCAAATAATGGATTTTGTCTTCCAATAGCTGGACTATTCATGGGATTAGCTTATATCGGCTTTGTGAATACTGGATTCCTGCCACCAAGAGCCGGTGGGCCGGGCGATATAGCCTCGTAATTCTTGACGATCATTACTCCTGGTTGACGCCTGAATGCGATTATCACTGTAGCTAGGATGGAGTTATGCCTAGCTGTATACCTCCACACTAATCACATTTTTGTCAGCCTCTTGATGTCGCTTGCTTCTCGCCATTAAAACGAGCCTACAGCGACTTGGTGGACGGTTACTGTGCACGCAATCACTTATGCGATGATTCATCCTCAGATCAAGATAGTCGGCAAACCGAAGTGTTGACCACAACAACAATCAAACACAAGACGAGTATTTCATTATTACTGAATCAATACAATTATCAATATGATAAACAAACCATCCAACAGAGCAAATCTACAACTGCTTTTCTTCCTACAACCGACTAGGAACCAAGTACGGAACCCCTTTCGCCTCGTAGAGATCACGATGGTCGGCCTTGATGAGATCGGCGCCCTGCAAGCACATCGAGCATTAGTATCTGATTTCACCACATGGAGGGGCCTGCTCACCTTCTCGCCGATCATGTACACCGAGTTCTGAATGCGACAGTCCGGAATCACGGGGATGACGGACGCATCCGCGACGCGCAGGTTGCGGATCCCGTGGACCCGGAGTCTAGAGTCCACCACGCCCTGGTGGATGCTCTTGGACAGGCGGGCGGTGCCGCAGGGATCTGTCCCATGATGAACCGGTTAGTGACATCATGCTCTATCCATACGCGGAAAAGATGAGGTGCACAAGCAAGAAGGTGGGGATAGCAACTTACGGAATCCAGTCTGACTCCTCTCCAAGACAGCCTTGTTCATCGCCTCATCCGAATGCAACGGCATCTCCCAGGGGTACTCACCCACCACGAGATCCTTGAGCCCCTCCCCCTGGGTCAGAACATCGTACGTCCAGCGCACACCCTCCCGCATCGCGAGAACATCCAGATCGTCGGCGAAGAAGTTGAGGTTGATGTGGGGCTGCACCAGGGGGTCCGCGGAATTGAGCGTGACCTCACCCCCCTCGGACACGGGCCGCAGCAGATCCACGATGACGGTCATGTAGCTGCCCTCCTTGGGGACGGGGTAGTGCCACTGGAAGGCGGAGCTGAACATCCCCACGAAGTCGAGCTCGAAGTGGGGCTGCCCCGCTGGACCGAAGGGGTCGTGGCCGCCATTGGCAGCCTTCGCGGCACGGTAGGCGGGGTACTGGTCCAGCCGGGCGTCGATGCGCGGGAAGCCGACCATCTCCAGCAGACCAGAGCTGACGGGCCCGGTGCGGTCGCGGCGGTAGGCCGACACGGCGGCGTCGTGGGCGGGGCCGGGCCGGAGCAGGTGGTCGTCCAGCGTGAGGCCATCCTTCAGCTTGAGGACGAAGGGGACGATCGGGTGGTCCAGCAGGTGTTGGCCGACGTGTGGGGAGTCCAGGATCACATCGATGTTGTGTTTGGCGAGTTCCGACTGCGGGCCGACACCGCTGAGCATGAGCAGTTTCGGGGTTTCGAACACCCCCTGCGACAGGATAACCTCGCGGGTGGCGTGGAGGCGGAGGGTGGTGTTGGTCGAGGGGAGGACGACCTCGACGCCGGAGCAGACGCGGGTGGACGGGTCGATGAGCAACCGCTTGGAGTGCGCGCCGGACAAGATCGTCACGTTGGGCCGGTTGAGCAGATACACAAAGCTGCCCTGGCGCTGACCCTTGTAGATCGAGTCGACGCAGTGGGTGAGCCCGTGCATCTCGCCGGAGTAGATGTCCTCGGTCAGTGGTTCGCCCTTGGACACCCAGGCCTGGCTGAGGGCGTCGCGGAAGGGCTGCAGCTCGGGCACCAATTCGGCGTGGGAGATCTGCAGGGGCCCACCGGAACCGATCTGGTGCAGCTCAGCCGGGTACAGCTTCTCGTCATCGTGGTAGGTGGCGCATTTACGCAGGTACTCAACGCAGTTCGCCCAGGTCCAATCCCGGCCGCCGAAGGGCTCCCAGTCGTCGAAGGTGGCCGCCGACCCGGGGATCCAGGTGAAGTAGTTGGCACACGAGCTGCCGCCCAGCGCCTTGCCGCGCGTGTTGGGCTTCTCCACGCGCTCGTAGTCCTCACGCTTGATCATGGTGGTTTTGTACGCCCAATCGTACTGGCTGCCCCGCAGCCCGAAGGCTTTGGACGGCGTCGTGATGTCTTCGATCTCGTGCGAGTTGGCGACACCCGCCTCGACCACGAGGACCTTGACGTCGGGGTTCTCGGCCAGCCGGCCCGCAATGCAGTTTCCTGCCGTACCACCACCCACGACGATAAAGTCGAACTGGGAGTTGTTGGCAACTGACATGATTATGGATTAGGGAGATATGGAAGAAACAAGGGTGATTCACTGAGACTGAAAATTGAGAGATGATTGTGATCTTGCTGCTGCTATCGCTGCTGCTGCTGCTGAAGATGCTGATGCTGATGATGATGATGATGATGATGATGATGATGCGACTCGAGCGGTGCCATCACTGCCTTATATCCTGTTTGCTTCGTGGAGGACACGATGGGCCGGCTACCTTGGACAAAGAATATCTCGTATAGACCTGCAGTGAGGCCCGAGTTTGGCCCGTTGATTCTGCCGACATATCCGCGATCATCCGGGTTGAAGCAAGACAGACGGGAGATTGACGTATGAGGGGTAAGCGAGGGATTTATGAGGCATTTGAGTATGCGGGTACAGGGGTTGGAGACAGCAAAGCATGGTGTTGATTATCTTGTTCTGCTCGTGTCCGGAACAATACACCCGAGCTCGGCGAAACCGGCCAGAGATCGGAGTCTGTCGGCAGACGGTCATGTGATCTCACGTGTCCCTGACGATGCTCCGAACTTTGACCGATCAACCAATCAAAGGGCGCTGATTGTGCTGACGGGGCGCCCCCTCATGAGGGGCAGGCACGGTGAGGGGAAAAGCCGTAGAGCGAGATGATGTTACTAAATGTTACTAACTCAATGCCCATTTCCCCTCACAGACCCTCTAGATTCCCTGGCCAAACGTCAACATCCCCATCCACTTTTGGCACTAGGTGAAACCGTGCCTCCGAGAAAATTTCTATCCCGAGATAAAGGCTTCACCGCTGTTGATGCGCCACGTTTGCAATCGCTTGCAATCGCTTGCAATCCCTATCTTGCCCGTTAGTCCAGAGATAAGCCTACCTGGCCGTAGCCGTATATAACTCCCACATCTCGCGATCGCCCCCCGCGATCCATAATTTCTCCCCTCTCCCCCCCCTTTCTCCCCTTTTCTCAAACTCAATCCTCACCCACACATACTCCACGCCATGTCCAAGCCTACTTTCACCCTCGCTGAGGGTATGTCTAGACCCTTTCCGATGGCCCTTGCTGATCACTTCGCTGACCCATCCATCCAGGCCAACCTGTCACTGACCCTGCGGTCAGCACCACCCTGCCTACCTTCGGTGGCGGTGGCCTCACTACCCTGGGAGACACTCTGCTGATCGAGACCCTGACACATTTCAACCGGGAGAGAATTCCGGAGCGGTACGGATCCTTACCCCTGCACTGCCGATCCCCGATCTGCATGCAGCTCGTGTGCATGGGACGCGAACTAATCGCCTGGCAGAGTCGTCCACGCCAAGGGCTCCGGCGCCTGGGGTGAATTCCGCGTCACCAAGGACATCTCCCACCTCACCAAGGCCAAATTCTTGACGGGCGTGGGCAAGAAGACCAAGGTGCTGTTCCGCCACAGCACCACGGGTGGTGGTCTCGGCAGTGCCGACACCGCGCTCGACATCCACGGCTTCGCCGTCAAGTTCTTCACCGAGGAGGGTAACCATGACATTGTTGGCAACCACGCCGTAAGCCCTTCTGCGCCTGCATCGCACCGAATTCCGCTAAGCTGACACAACCACCAACAGCCCGTCTTCTGGGTGCGTGATCCCATCCGCTTCCCCGCGGTGAACCGCAGTCACAAGAAGCACCCCGCCACGAACCGCGGCGACCCCAACATGGTAAGCAGCCAGTACATCCGAGACAACATGTCGCTCAAGCAGCGCACTGACCCACGCCATCACTCTAGTTCTGGGACTTCCACGTCAACCAGCCCGAGAGTGTGCACGCCTTGATGCACCTGTTCGGCTCGCGCGGCCACCCGGAGTCGGCGCGCAAGATGACCGGGTTCGGCATCCACACTTTCAAGCTGGTGTCCGAGGACGGCAGCTTCCGCTACTGCAAGTTCCACTTCAAGCCCGTGCAGGGCATCAGCAACATCAGCTCCGACATGGCCACGCGGTTGGCGGGCACCAACCCGGACTCGTACAACCAGGATCTGTGGGAGGCGATCGCGCGCGGCGACCACCCAGTGTGGAAGCTGTACGTGCAGGTGATGGAACCCGAGCGCGCCGAGACGTTCGGTCGGGCGTTGTTCGACATCACCAAGGTGTGGCCGCACAAGGACTTCCCCTTGATCGAGGTTGGCGAGATGACTCTCAACCGGAATGTGCGTTGCCCCTTTTGCCTGGTGCATAATTTTCCGAGAAATAGCTGACCATTCGTGCACAGCCCGAGAACTTCTTCGCCGAGATCGAACAGGCAGCTTTCTCTCCCTCCAACCTGGTCCCCGGTGTGGCTGCCACTCCTGACCCGAGTATGTCCCTCCCCCAGTCCTCGAGAAACGTCAACACATCTCCTAACACAGTGTCTGTGTAGTGCTCCAAGCCCGCATGTTCGCCTACCCCGACGCCCAGCGCTACCGCCTGGGTGTCAACTACCCGCAGCTCCCGCCCAACAAGCCCGTGTGCCCCGTGTACGCCCCCTACCTGCGCGACGGCGCCCACACCACCACGCACAACTACGGCGGCGACCCCAACTACGTGCGCAGCACGCTCACTCCTGGTGTCAGCAGCCCGTCGGCGCAGGAGGTGCGCCACCACGAGTTCCTGCGGATGGGCGGGGTGCTGGGACTGAACGAGATCCCCGTGGACGATGAGGACTTCGTGCAGCCGCGCGCGCTGTGGCACAACGTGTTCGACGAGCAGGAGCGCCGGCTGTTCGTGACGAACCTCTGCAACTCGCTGGAGGGGGTGGTGCCGGAGCTGCAGCAGGCGACGGTGGCCATGTTCAGCCGGGTGGATCCCCGGATCGGACAGATGATGGAGGCGAATCTCAAGGGGGGTGCGCGGTTGTAGGTCGCCGACGGGACCGACGGGGCCGACCGGGGTAGAGAGGGGAGTTTGTTTTCAAGCGATGCATCCTTGCCTGTGGATTTTTGTCCAAAGTTAGACGTGTCTTAGATTTAGACTAGACATAGACGGTCATAGACAATCATAGACAAGTACAGTCATAAGTGTACAGGATATCCTTGATGAGTGTGGAGTGTGTCAGTTGTGACTCGGTGAGAGTAGAGAGAGAGAAAGTCGCGTCGAGGGGAACTGATAAGCCCACCGCGACGTTATCGGATGCATCACGTGATTAATGCCTTAGGCACCAGGATGCAGTCGGCAGCCTCAGGCAGCAGCGCAGTGTCGATCACCCAATCCCACCACTAAATCGATACATGACCACAAGACTCACACGCACGCATACAGCATTGAATTGGAGAGACATTTGGACTGTTGTGATACCTGCCATTCGCAATCATAGTATCTCCATTGACTTGGAATAGTATCCTCGACCCATCCACTCCTAACACTATGAGATCATCCCGTGACGTCATCTTGACTCCGCCCGTGTCATCGCATCCCATGGCATCGCAAGACCTCGCAGACACGCACCCCATAAAATCCACCCACCGACCTGCATCTCTCACCCTGACCCTCCAAAACACCCAATCGCATATTTACTACCCAAACCAACAACAAAATGCGCGACTCCATCCCCCTCACCCGCAGCCGCCGCAGTGACGAACTGACCCGGCTCGCGGACCAGCACCTGCAACACGACCTGTCAGCCTCCGACCGCGACGCCCTGCAATCCGCCGCCCGCACTGTCTCCCTCTGGACGACTGTCGGCTCCGCTGTGGGCATGGGGCTGGGACTGTACACGGCGTTCCGGCTGCGGAGCTCGCGCCGCGCCTTCTTCGAGGCCTTCCGCGCGCAGCAGAAGCCGACGAAGGTGGTGTTTGCGGATGGGCGGACTGGTATGCGCCCCCTGTCCATTGCTACAACATGAAAGCTGAGCTAACACGAGGGTGACCGACGCTAGAATCCATCCCCGATATCACACCGCTGCTGAAACCCACCACGATCGGCGACTTTGCGACGTATTTCTTCGCCTCGGCGGGCGGGTTGTTTCTGGGCGGGGAGTTGGGTATGTTTCCTCTGCTTGTCACAAAGTAAGTGAGAAAAGTATTGACGCAGTGATAGGTCTCTTGGGTGGTGCCGCCGTAGGCAGCCGGGGAATCACCAACGAGCCCGAGCGACGGAAGCGCATCGAGAATGCCTTCCGGCGGTTCCGGGCGGATGTGCTGAGGCGCGAGGCGGATGCCTTGGACGGCGATCGGAATATCATTGAGAAGATGTTTTAATTGTTGGGAGTATTGAAAGGGGTGTTGTTTTTGTTTCTGGCCATTCGAAGGAGGTGTTGTTTTCTCTTTCTGAGAATTGAATGGGGACATGATTGTATGTGTGCGCATGCACCTCGATGCCCGCTGTGTATTTTAGCGAATATCATTGAATAATTTGAGATAAGTGTATCTGGTGCAGTGTAACTGTAGCCCAGATGTTACATACCGCAGACTGATGAAGGTATCGTGCATCCCAGACGTGAATATGTACACGGCCCATCAGCCCATCAACATAACAATACTGCACCCCCAATAAATATATACAAACACACCCCCAAACGCCAACAACCCAAACGCCCCCCCCAATCACCCAGATAAGAAAAGTTAACACCTCCCAAGCCACCGCCACACAGCCCGACACTCGGTCTTCCACGTCCCCGAGAAATAATGCTTGACCAGCACCTCCGCCGAGCGATGGTCCTCGCCCTGCGTGATCGCGAACCCGCGCTTGGGCAACACCACCACATCCTTGATGCGCACCGTCTCCTGCAAATCTCTCAGAGTGTTCAACAGCCCCTCATCGGCCCCGAGATACTCGAGCACCGCATCCGTCCAGACGCTCGGGCCCGTCCACTCCATCACATCCGGCGGTTCCGCCCCCGCGCTATCCCCTTGCCCTAAATGCTGGAGATACTCCTCCGTCCGGTCGACGATCTTCCCCAAGACAGCCCCGAAGATCGGATGGCCCGGCGCCGCGACCATCGTCCACTGCACGAACTGCGGCGACCGCGGCAGACCCCGAGTGGCGGCGTCGCCTTCTAACCCGACGATGGCGGCGGGGGGGCCATCCCCTTTCCCCGATTCATCTCCGAACATCGCCCCCCACGGCAACGGCTGCATCAGCCGCACGTCCAGATCATTGTACACGCCGCCCCGCGCATACAGGATCAGATAGCGACAGAAGTCCGATTTGAGCACGGCGGAGGGGAAGGCGGCCAGCGCTGCGGCGTAGCGGCCGGACGACGGGTCGGTGGCACGCGCGAGTTCGGCGCATGCCGCCTCGGTCCAGTACTCGATCTTCCAGCCGGATTGCTGCCAGGAGATGGTGTGCTGGGAGGGACGGAAGGCGGAGACGGGGTGGTTGGGCATGGAGAAGAGGAGGTGGTGGATTGTTTGGGGGATGAGGAGGTCGGTTGCTGCTGCTGCGGTGGAGGGGATGGGCTGGTTTGTGTTTGAATCGAGGTGTGGCTGTGGGTTTGGGTGTGGGTGTTGACGGGGTGTGTTTGGCGGCGGTGTTGATGGTTGTGGTGGTGTTGTATACCGAACCAGTGAGAGGATGAGACACAGCGCCACGATGGCCTGGACCAGCTGCAGTGGTCGGAGAGGCATGGTCATCGATTTCGTCGCCCTCTATTCCAATCAGGTATTGTTGGTGCTCAATTGCAGTCACCTTTCCCTTATTGATGGCCGACATTAACAATTGTCCATCCCGCGCTGTCGGTGTCGGTTTCGGTTTCCACCCAGCAACGTTGACCTTAAACCCTGCACACACAGCACAACACAGCACAACACAACACACGCACGCACGTACCTTCCCAGGTACGTCCAACAGCGCAACATCCCACTTAAGTACCCCGTACTCCCGAAGAAACAGGACTGGTTCATTTTTTAGCTGCCAAGTGCCAACATCCCCCGCCCCACTCCCAAAAAGACTAAGGGCTAGGCAATGACGCCGATAGGGCTGGGCAGCTGGGCGCTGTTTCTTGGAGAGCTCTCGGCATTCCCTGTCCTCGATCGATCATCTGTCCTAAGACAGGGGGTCGAGAGGGGGGCAAGTTACATCGTGTGCTTACTCCCCTGTTTTCCCTGAAACTAAATACAGTAAGTAGTTCTTAGACGAGAACCAAGAGCACGGCGCTAGAACTCTCCCCTCCCACAAAGAATCAACCCGGGGATCGGGAAGAGGCGTTCGTCAATCACCTCGAAAACCAACCAGGCTAAGCCACACTTGTACCTAGTGGATTGAGGAGAAAAGCCTGCAAGAACTCCGACTGGTACCTGGGAGCCCGCTTGGCATTGGCGATGCAGCCGATGACTCGTTGGCAGTCCTCAAAGTGGGTCGGTGGTGATCAGGCAGAAGAATTTGGGAGGAATTTGCCCTAGAGAGATTAAGGTACCCGAGTCCGGGAGGGGCCGTGCGTTAGGTCGTGATCCACGTGTGTGTCAGGGACTGGACTGGACGGTTGGTAGGAGGGTTGGAGGAAAGGGGGGAGGGTGTTATTGTAGTCGTAGATTGACGAGCCAATCCAGGGGGAACGATAGCTGAAGATTATGCAGTGTGGTTCCATCTTACTCGATTGAATCTGATGCGGTAGACAGCCACTGCTTGAATTCGAAAAATAGTCGCGTGATCATCTGAAGCATGGATGTAGACTCAATCAATATCGTGGTGGGACCTGCGCAGCAGCATAAGGGTCTAGAATATCGATTTGAATATCGTAGTACCCCGAAGGTACAATCAGTTCAATTCTCCGACAACAATAGCACATGCACAGCGTTCGTGAAGTGAAGGTCAAGATAAGCTATCTGCTCCTAGCCCGATCTGGTCACACAACAGATTAAGGTCCCCTCACAAGAACCACTTCTCAAAGTTAATGTTAGTGTTGGTTCTTAGTGTGCTGCTGTACTATTCCTCATCGATCCCTAACCTCGACCGCCCACTGCCTCCGCAGTCCACTCGACTATTCCATCCCTGGCATCAACCCTATCTACACTACACAACCTGCTCCAGACAAACCTACCCCGAAGACTACCAAACAAAGTCTACGCTACTCCAGAAAATTACCGACTGACTCATGTACAGAACCCCTGCATAAACTATAAACTATATATCACAAAAATGCCTGCTAGAAACAAGTCGTAGAACCAACCCCAACACCGCAATAAAACCCCAGACAGCCCAGCTAAATCCGGGACCAGCTATGTATGTATATGTATAAGGATGCAATGCACGTATGTATAGATGAAAGGAAAGCTCGGTCGCTGCCGGCGGGTGCGTCCACTCGCTAGCCACGTCTTGGTAATTGAAGTGGTTACGACTGAGCGTTGTTGGCACAAGTCCAGCTGGCCGAGGCGGTGCTGTCGTGGATGGATTTGCCGGAGACGTAGAGTCCGAGACCGCACTGCGATAGTATTAGTGAAATGCTCCCAAACAAATCTTTAAAAGACAGGCAACCTACAATCGCGCACGCAATACCGAGGATGACTAGGTTGACGATAGTCAGGAAGATCTTCGAGGGGGTCGCGGTGTATTGGCCCTTGTTCATGATCATCCACATGAGAGCGGGGATACCATCTGAAGAATTATTAGCATCGCATAGAGAGATGTAAGTCAGTGCGAGACACTTACAACTGAACCAACTGCCGAAGAGAGAGCACTAAATAATCGACGTAATTAGTAAGCGAAGCGGGCACAAGGGAAGCTACTGCACGTACAATCAAACTCAACAGGTCGTTGAAGACGGGGATGGACTCGGCAATCACCCAGGCGATCACCCACACAGCCAAAGCGATACCGATCCATGATCCGACCACAACAGGGCTGTTCGTGTGCATCTGGGGAGATCCACGCCACACACGAACGAAGATGTACTTGCAGGCGACGTGGCCGAAAATGACACCGGCAATGATGACCTAACAATGAAATCAGTCCGCAGAATCGTGACAACCACACCCATAACCTGGACATACCGTAGGGATGGCAAGACCGTAGGCGACCTTGCTCATGAGCGGGCCGGCGGAAGACAAAGCCGGAGACTTGACGTCCGGTCCGGCGTAGCGGTAGATGACCATCGCGGTGATGATGTACATGGTCGTGTCGAGCACCTGCAGCATGGCCAGGGACTTGGGGAAGTCCCGGACATCCTCCATCTCGGACATGATACCGAAGAAAGCCACGTGGGCAACTATGAAGTGGTCAGTACCAATCCCCACCGGAATTCCACAGAACCCGGGACGAAGCTTACTGAAAGCGAAGATGATGTTGGTGACGGCCAAGAAAGCATTGACGAAGCTCGGGTGGGTTGTCACGTCGTTCTGGACGTGAGCCGGGGCTTCAACTCCAAGCGCAATCATCGTGACGACGGTGGCGACGATGATACTCAGGCAGGCTATCGTAACCGATCAATAACATGGACCTGCGGAACTGACATGCGGGGACGCCTTACAAACGATGGACATGTAGTACACCTTGCCCATGGTGCGAGGCAGGGCGAAGATACAACTGACGACGAGACCAACCACTCCGAAGACGATGGTGCAGGTGCCGTGGCCGGTGATGGTGTTGAACAGCACCGTGAAGGTGAGCACGTGACTGGACATCAGGAAGATGCAGAACAGCAGCTGGCCGACGAACATGATCTCGCGTCCGATGCGACCCATAAGCAGCTCTCCGGCGTCACCCATGCTGTGGACCTGGGGATAGCGCAGCTTGAACTGGCCCATGACATAACCAGTGTACCAGGAGATACCCGACATTCCCAGGATGATTAGAATGGAGCTGACCAGGAGGTTAGTCTGACGGTACTGCCAAACATGTCTCTGTTGAATTAGGGTTAGACACTTACGGGACGATACCCAAGGTGGCGACCGCAGAGGGTAGCGACAAAATACCCAGCGAGATGTTTTCGGCGATCATGACTAAGGAAGGGCTTTGTTTAGATGGTGGATGCTGGCGGACGGGCACTGTGCCCTAAGAGACAATAGACTCACGCATGCCGCAGTTCCACCATTTCATCGTGCGGAACTTGACTTCAGCCATCTCTTCGTTGCCGAACGGGTCATCGGCCGGGGGAGACTCATTGGGGGCGACCTTCTCGATCTTTTCGTCTTCGTCGTGGTACTGCTGGTGGGCATCGAAGGCCTCAACATCTCTACCGTGGCTGGCCATAGTGACGGGAAGAGTAGGGGAAAAAAGTGCAAGAGTGGCGATGGGGAGGAGAGAAGGGCGTCGTGAGTTGAGTCGTAAAGCGTAGGCAGTCAGTAACACAGCAGCAAGAAGAATGATAGGGCGCAGCAACAACCAAGTCAACGGGCCAACTTTCAAGAAGAAGAGGAGAGAAAAGAAAGAGAAGGGGACTCCAAAGGTGGAGGGAGGATATAAAGAAAAAGAGCCCGGGCTGGCCGCAGTCGCTTCGTTGCATCCACGGCGGATCGGCAGATTTAGGCTTTTTCACACTTGGGGGAATCTGTGTGGGGGGTCCAACACTCTACCACCCAAACCGGTAACAATCATCACTGTTACAGGTGGAGTCGTCCGGCCGAACCCAGAATTCCGTCCGCTGATAATGTCTGCTCGACAAGTCAATGTGTACGCAGTATCGTTTGCTTTACGTTTTATCAATGGTTTCAGGCGACTAACCCCCGGCCCCAGTGGTCCGGTACCTGATCTTGAATCCTGGCTGACAGCTCCTGCTCTCACCAGCTGGATCCATGACCTCAACCTGCATTGATCACCCTGATCAGCTGGGAGTCTGGGATGGAGAAGAGATATGCATGGGGCTAAGTAATTCTCCCGAAGTTGCTCCCCAGCAACAGTTACTGTGCAGTGCGCACACCGTATACATTAATCAATGGCAGCTGCTGCCACAGCCCTAGATGGCCCAAGCGTGGCTACCTCGCTTAGTGAGGTTTGCTCACATTTGCCCATGGCTACATCCATTCCTCCGAAAACATACAAGCCTTATAGAAATTTCCATGGGAGGACGGGGCTGACCCTCGGTGTTATCACGAGGGGATGGGATAATGGTGTTGGGTAATGAAAATGGGGGAGAGACTACAACTGAGTCAGGGCCAGGTAGGGACGTGCATCCGAGTCAAGACGGGAAGAATAATGCAGCAGGAATAATATGGGGATAGTTACAGAGATTCATCTTATCAAGCATGTACTCGTGTACGTAGTAGGTAGCATGCAATGAGCGGCAAAAAAAAGAACCTTCATCCTTCACTATCAAGGATCAAGGGCAAAATCTGCGCCTCCCGGCGGGACTAGTCCTGATCCGGACCCTCACTAAACCTGAAACCGTAAGGCCCAGCTGGTTCTAGTTTCTAGTCCGCATGCGGCAATGGATTTCCACGGCGCAGGTGCTGACTCAGCCATCCATCTGAACGAGTTTTATGCCTGCATGTCGCCTGCCTTTCCTATTCCAGACGAACGCTTGGGAAATGTATCTGTGTTACACCTGCACACAGAAGATGCGGAGAAAGTTTGCCCCGGGCGAAGCGAAGAAGAATCGATTGCTCATGGAAATTGCCATGTCGGGCCAGTGGAATGGCTGAGCCAGAGCCCAACACGTCTCCACGTGCAGAGACAACCTAGCCAAGCCAAGGGCATTATTAGGGTTAGGTCATGGAGCTCATGGATCTGGGGAAAAGAGGAAACCCAGCCAACGGCAACAAATTGCACCCAATAATCCAATAGCACTGGCGAGCTCACCGGTGGCCGGACCTGTTCAATGCCCGGTGAACGCCGCCTCAACGCCGCCACTCCATTCTAGAAGGCGACTAGTCTGGTGAATCAACCGCTTGGCTAGCTAAAAACCACCTATTTACCTTTTTTTTTTTTTCTTTTTGTTTTCTTTGGCCTCGAATCGGCCCGCCGACTAGTCTAGTCACTTCCCTTCTTAAGTGGTGATATCATGGGTAAATAATCCGTAAAAACCCCCCAGATCGAGAAAACCACACAAAATCAAGAAACCATGCGTCCTTGTCCCCCGGAAACCCGCTCGACCCCAAATTGAGGGGAAGACAACAGTTCAATCTGGGGAATCAGAGGGCTTCTCGTGGTGTTGCCCCGGAGGATACCTAGGATAGTTCAGAATCTCAGACAGCTAAAGCCAACCGGGTCGGTGATTGCCTCCCCAAAGGGGCAGTGTGGACAGGCGATGAAGTAACAGCAATCCCATCCATTCGTTCTGCTGTTCTGCTGTTCTGCTGTTCTGCTTCATACCGGCTCCCGGCCCGGCTCCGGTCGACCATTTCCGCCCTTCACCGCCCGGTGCCTCGGGCCCCGATCTGCCGCCTAACCACTATACTAGGTCAGTATATACTACCTAAACACACTGTATACAGTGAATACCGGAGATAACCAGGGCTGATCACAGCAGAAATTCTCATCCATCCTGTCTTCATCATGGTACAACTTCGAACTGCCGATACCCGGACGTACCACTTTCCCTCGCTACCGAGATACGAACCTTGCAGCCTGGGGTACCTGCAATACAGCATGTTATCCTCTTTCTCGCCGAGCATCCGGAGTAAACACATAGGAACTTCCGTACCAGGTCTCAAACCCTCCCACGTCGCGTGTTTCTGTTGCAGCGGGGAGAAACCCACACACTGCTGCCTCTTCTTACTCGTCAGACCCGACGAGGAGAAATCTCGTATCTCTGCCCTTTTCGCCTCCCCTTCTCCACGACCCAGGGGATCCACCACTACTTTGCTGACGGCGGCAGCGTTGGCCGCTGATAGCGCTGGAACCGACGAGCCATAGTCAATCGTCGGTTTCATTTGGAAATGCCATTATAAATCCGATCGCGGATTCGAGCCCACTCTCGCGTAAGCGTTGCCTGGGGGGAGGGTGAGTCTGTAAAGGTGCCGTGGCGTTCCGGGAGTGGACTGGCTCAGTAGCATCTGCGTCTTCTGGAGAATGTACCCCAGTCTACGGCATCAGCTTGGCGTCATTGTCTATGGGGTGGCGGGGGCTAGTCGGAGGCGAATCCCCTTATGATCAACATGACTGAGGGCAGGTAGAGAGTAGACTAGACGACGCATAATCAATAGAGTCTCCAATATCAGCGTCAGCAGGTCGCGGAGTAAGTGGGTGGGCGATGGTGGGTTCACGAAGGATCTCGTGGTGTCCATTCGTGGTTCTTGATAAGATGGCATTGGAAGAAGATACAGGATGCTGACGAATTCCCTTTTACTTGCGTACTGATCTGTTGCTGACCGTTCTTCGTGATCCCAGAAGAAGATTCTGGAGCGTCTGGCGGTTTCAGTTCGGTAGTCAACGGGCATGTGACTACGTTGCCCGCGCAGCAGCAGCTGTGGGATTGTATGAGACTACCCGGCTGCCGTCTACCTGAATGCTGCCTGGAAGCACGAGTACATTCTGCTGATCATGTTGACCTTTTCCACGTAGTGCTGGGTATGCACAGGACATCACCTGTGGAGATCTGCACAGATGCGTACAGCCACTGAGCAAAGCTTCAACGATCTGCATAACAAAGCAGATTACAATCGCCTTTATCAGCTCTTACACATACTCATAGTAACCTTCGCCATCTAGAAGTTGTGGCAAAAGCATTTAAGGCACAAGACCCCAAGCCAATCAGCAGCGCACTGATAATCGAATTATACGGCAGGGGTCCCTGCTATAGCAGATCACCGGTTATCCCTACCCGGCGGCGAAGATATGTGAGTCAACCTGGGTAAAGCTGTTTGTAAACACTGTGATAAAGGGTCTGCAGCAGATACCTTGGTATCTAGCTCTGCTATACTTCTGAGTTGTTCTGCGATTGTGGACTGGCAGGACCTTCCAGACGTAATGCTCAAGGTGCAAACTTGGGCTGCGACACGTATTCAGGGCTTGGTCAAAGTCCCTCTGCTCCAAGTGCATGCTGTATATACGTAGAAGCTTTGTATTGCATCCTATGATGAGGTCCCTACTCGAGGTACTTCACTAATTGACACGCGGGTTGGTAATACCCTTCGGGCAGCACAGGAGGAATATCATATCGTCACGCCAGAATGAAACTCCTGCACAACCTCTAGAGTTAGGCATAAATCCAAACCGCTACAGTGCATGGGACTCCCATGAGATAGTATTGCTTTGAGCTGTGAAAGGATAAAACATGCTGCGTACGATCTGGCGCAATCCACATGTACAGTAGAGCATTTGAAACGAGAAATTGCACGCAGCGGGTTGCATTGCCCATGCAACTTCGGGCATTCTCGAGGTGGAAGGTTCGCAGACCGAAATTCGTCTAGCCAGCGGAGTGGTCGCGAGACTGGAGCAGAATTAGAGAGCAACCCGTGTCGTCAAGCAAGCTAGACCAGGAAGTAAGGGCAATCTGGAGGAACTGGGCGTATCTAAGTTAAGATGTTACATAGATTGTGTCAAAGTGTAAACAAGCACATACGACCATAGGGTGTGGAAAACAGGGCTTCCCGTCCGCTCAGCCGTACTTAAGCCACACGCCGGGAGGTTAGTAGTTGGGTGGGTGACCACCAGCGAATCCCTTCTGTTGTATGTTTTTTTGCCCTCGTCCTTCTCTCTATCCCCATGGGTCTATGGTCTTTTTGCCTACTTCTTCTTCTTCTTTCTATCTTTTGTTTTTTTGGTAGACACATCAATGAGTCTAGGTATTGTTTGTTGCAGCGGCTGTGGAGAGAAATGGTGATAGGGCGGTACTACCCATGAAGCATATATATCTTAAGTCTAGTCCAGTACCAACCCTGTTATTGGCCTGGTGGCGCGACCTTCTCAGGTATCGCTCCATCAACAAGTTGTGTTATCGGACAAATTCCAAAAGGGAAGATATGTAATCTTTTCCAGGGGCAAATCTGCTCATACTGCTAACAATATGTATACGGTGGATCGTCGGATTGTTCGAGCTAAGCTGATAACAATCCCAGGTGTTCAAGAACAAGCCGAATATAACAGCTCCAATACATCCAATCCGACTCAATCTCTGATTGCGGACCCACAAAGCAGCTAAAACCCATATTTGTCGACCGCCATCATCCTGGTGGGGATCAAAAAGCGAAGCATTCCGTCGCAAAGATCGGGACCGTCACCGTATACAGGGTCGCCGTGTAAAGGCTGGTCACGAACGCGTCCACATCGAAAAGAAAGTCACTCGTGAACCAGTAGCCATTGCTGCAAGCACCCGCTCCAGTCACAGCCGTCACACCCGTGGTCGAGCTGACATCCGCGGCGCCCGCCACCGAGAAGGTGTTCACGACCTCAGCCTTGGCCTCGACCCCGGCAGAGACCTCGAGCAGACCGTCGAGGACATTCACCCCCACCGCGAGTTCCACATCCGCAAAGGGATTCAGCTGCGCATCGACCTCGCCAGACAGGGTCGCCGATGCAGTCTGTGTGGGAGTCCAGCCCGACGACGTGGAGGCGCCGCTCTGCAGCAGGTCGAGGTAGATGGTACCGCTGGTGATCTGCGTCGATAGGTCCACGGTGACGTTGGCTTCGCCAGTGACTCCGAATTCGACGCCGACGGCCAAGGTCAGGGAGGGACCGACACTGAGGATTCCGGTAATCTCGAATGCGGAGACCGACAAGGCGTCGTAGGTGTAGGTCCAGACATCCGTGGAATAGGCGGCGGTCGCCTGCGCAGACACGTTCAGTTCAGCCAAGAGGGCGAGGTCCAGCTCCAGGTAGAGGCTCGTCGCCGTCGAATTGGTCACATCGAGCTCCACCCCGCCGCTCAGGTCCAGGGTGGTGCTCAGGCTGACATCCTGCACGTCGATGGCGAGATCCTTGGTATTGATCAGCTCGCCCGACCACTCGTCCGAGACGGAGATGGTCCAGTCGCGCTTGCGGGATGCCACCGCGCTCGCATTGAAGAGCACCGAGATCGACTGCGCCTGGTCCCGGAACGAGCTGCGAGTGGTCTGGGCCGTGATGGTGTTGTTGGCGCTGCCCACGGTGCTTGAGTCCACCAGGTAGACGCCGCGTTCGTTCTCCGCGTCGCAGTTGCCCAGGTGGTTAGTGAGCAGGATGAAGCTGGACGAGGGCCATGCGGAGACGCTGCGCTGATAGTCGGTCGTGCTGGCAAAGACGATTTCCACTGCTTCGGCCGAGCAGCTGACACTGGAAATGGTGGTAATATCTTCGAGTACCACCGTCGGGAGATTCATTTGAGCATCCACCGTGGCGGCTGTCAAGGGCTGACTCGCGGCCTGGTAGTACAGCGTGATGTCTTTCTCGGGTGCAATGCCGGTCTGGCTCACGTCTGCGGCGCGTTTGATAGGAAGAAGGTGTTCAGTGGCCAGGGCACGAACGGCCATTAGACAGAGAACGGCGAACAGGGACATCATGGCTTGGGAAGTGGAGACTAGTGTGGGATTCTGTAGTAAGATCAGACGCTTGTAGCGAGGATGCGACCAAGAAAAAAGGTTGAGGGAATAACCTACTACTGGGAATTATAAGGATGTTCTCGGGGCCAATATCCTGCCTACTTAACCCCTCTTTCAATGCATGGGTGGTGCTGATGGATTGTTTTCACGCACTACGAATACTTCCTCCAATAGCCAAGCGAGTCCCAATGCCTCTCCTACTATGGAGGAGGTGGACTTTTGTTTAACCAGACCATTAGGCACAGTACTTAGGTACTCAAAGGCTACCTAACCTAAACTACCACCCAGTGGTAAGATGAACCGCCGAGCATGCCGGGAGGAAAATTGATTCGATTGGTGGCGAACATCACTGTCCCTCGGCAGGGTTAATTGATTAATCTATATTAATGATATTGTGAAATCACGCACGTGCATCTGCTTCCCGTGAAGATTCGGTCACATATTTCACAGACTCATTGCTCACGCCGTCATCAAACCACGACCTCCACCACTCCTCCGAGCCCACCAGTTGCAGGAGCCGATCCTCCGCCACCGGTAAATGAGAGACAGCATTTCCGGGCCGTCCCAATGGACCGCGATCGTTATAGAGGTGGACCTCGCGCAGCGTCTCCGACAATTCCACGACAGTTTCCCCGCGAACCGAGATCGATCGCGGATTCCGTGGCGTCCCTGAAGGAGGCCACTTTCAAAACAGTACTTTACCCTGTACAGTACAGTTCACACTATACTGATCCGCATTAATCCGGTTCCAGCACATAGCTTTATCTTCATACAACCCTAGGACAGAACGTTGAACTGAATACGCGCAAATTGAGCTAACACCCACTAAGTATACTGGTAACACTGATAACACCGATCCACCAGCGATCTTCCCAACAGCAGCCATCATGAAGATGGCCGTAGACTCCAAAGCAAGTCACCAAAAGGGTTGGCTAAGATTGACACTCGAGCACACAAGCCTTATAAGTCATGATACCATCGCTTGCACACTGTCTGTTTGCCGCCTCCTCCGTCACCCCGTTACACTTCTCGCCATTCAAACAGAGATTGAAGAAGCATGGTGCCAGGCACGCACCGTACACGTTCAGGTACCGGTCAAACTTCCCGCATCCGATGGCAGACTCGAATGGAATATCAGTAGGTGGTGGTGGTGGTGGTGGTGTGGCGGCAGGGGTGAGTGCCTTGTCTCTGCAGCCCTTCTCGCAAGATTGCCAGTTCTCCTGGTTTGCGGAAAGGCAGTCGTCGCGGGGCGCGGTCCCATGGAAGCATCGGTCTACGCCGGCGAGCGCTGCCTGCAAGCAGTTGCTGTTGCAGGCCTCGAGAGACCATTCGACCCGGCGCGGGCAGGCGGCGTCGCAGCCCTTGATGCAGCCCTTGATCTCCTGGTCGCATCCGAGGAATTACCGCTGCCAGAACAGCAGTATAGGGTTCTGAGGAAGTCCGAAGAAACTCCTTATTCTCCTTGGAAAGCAGCAGTCAGAAACGCGTGCATCTCGAACCAGGCCTCTGTAACCGAAATACCAGCAGCTGGAGTCGCAAAGAATAGAGTAGCGCTCAGTGGCGCATCCAAACACTACACCAAATACAATGCGCCAAGAGAAATCAAATCCTGAGAGGCAGTAAACCCGAGGAATGATCGGTGGATCGTGATGAAGTTGCGTCTTGAACCATGGTGGCTCAACGGGTGGCTGAACCCAAACCCCAAATGGCGGAAAACACCATATCGAACGAGGGTGAACCAAATTGCAATGTGATGTTCCGCAATTCGTCATTGGCAACCTTGAACCTTATTTCTTCCTCGAAGCCTGGACTGCGAAGCCCAAAGATTTGAATACGGAGGAGAAATGGGCGTTGCCTGTGTCCAAGACAATACGACGGGTATGTGGTGGCCGGGCATGAAGAGGCCATAGAAGCAGGAATGAATCTCCTCTTGAGCTTGATTTAAAGGAATGGCTTTGGTAGTTCGTCAAGAAAACCGACCCAAAGATTGGGAGCGCGATCCAACTAGATGTTTGAGATAATCAAACCGGGCTCTCGTCGGCACAATTAGCCAAGCCCACCTATCTCAAACCTCCCAAAGTGCTGCCTGGAATCAGTTTTCGTTAAAGTTAGGGCTATGTGAAGCCTAATCTGATTCAGCCAGTCAGATAAGCACCGCGCCTACGGCTGATTAAAAGTGGGATGGCGGAGACATACGTGAGCTAACATTGCCCTCAATCCATGTGGAGCTGTCAAAAGCTGTCTACAATCAAAGGCCCAGTCCTTGGCCCAAGGAAATCACCTTGATTTTACTCCGGCACATGTTGAAACAAGAATCGTTCAACAAAAGAGATTAAAGGGGAAAGAGGCGCAACAAGAAATAAAGAAATAACAACCCTCTCGTGTTCGCGCTTGTTCCAGGAAGAATGGAGGGTATTTTTGGGTTTCTTGCCCCGAACACTGGAAATGTAAGACAGAAGGTTATACGAGCGCTGAGACTTGTTGTTACTACAAAACATAAAGGAGCCTAAATGCCTGTGAGTCAGACTTTCATGGCATTGGATGAATCGGAAGAGCTGGACAGTAATCTCTTACTGATATATGCATCACGAAATGTGTTAGAGCATTTTTCTTTTTCTACATGAAGAACCATCAACCGATGCTATATTGTAATAACAGTCGTCTCCACAGACGTACCTTCCTACACAGAAGCGACCTGTAGCTCTTTCAACCCCAGCGTCTCCTTTTCCGCCTTTTTCAGATACCCATCGCCCAGAAACCGTTTCAGGAACGGGGTATAATCAAACACCAGATCGCGGACGTACGCCAGCGGACGCGGGAGCCCGTGGAACATCCTCCCCAGGAACCGCGCGAACTCCATATTATGATTCACATAGTCCACGCGTTCGGCCTCGTATATCTCAAACGCGGCGGTGCATGCGCGCACATCCCGCAAGTCCACGCCGTCCAGCGCGCGAGCCAGGAAATACCCGTCCTCGATGGCCATGCCCATGCCGTAGGCGGCGTAGGGCGAGACGGGGTGGACAGCGTCACCCAGGCAGACCACCCGTCCTTGCGACCACTTCTTCATCGAGGGCCGGTTGTAGATCTCCCAGCGGTAGACCTGGGTGTCGAAGTCAGTGGCCTCCAGGAAGCGGGGCATGGGCTGGGCCCAGTCCTTCAGGATGGCAGTCAGGTGCTCCTTGGGGTTGGCGGGAACGGGCTTGCCCTCGTACGAGTGCTCGACGACCCACCACTCAAAGCCCGGTTTGCCGTCGTGCACCATGGGGAAGAAGCTGGCCTGGTGCTGCCAGTCGTGCGAGACGTAACCGTAGTGGGGCGGGATGTCCGGGATGAAGTCGCACCAGGCCAACCACAGCCGGATGCCCGTGTGGAAGAGCCCTGGGTCCCCGAAGGTCTGCCGCGAGACTCGGGAGCGGATGCCGTCCGCGCCCACCAGGATGTCGGCCGTCACGCGCTGCCCGTTGGTGAAGTGTAACTCGATCTCCTCGGCCGTCTCCGTGTACGCGGTAAACTCGTGGTCCGCGTGGATCACCCCCGCCGGCACCAGCTCGAGCATCCGCTGGAAGATCGACGACCGCAGCACTCCGTAGTGCCACCCCTTGATCCCCATGCGCTGTTCGACTGTCGGGTTGAACGGGAGCTTGACGCGCTCGCCCCCGGCTTTGTTCTTAAAGTAGGTCACCGTGTGGCCGCCAAAATGCTCTAGACTCAGACCGTATGCCCGCAGGATCGATATAACCGGGGTGGACAACAAGACCGCGCCCCCGATTGCCTTGCATTCCGGCTGGCGCTCGTAGATGCGCACATCGAAGCCGCGGGCGAGGAAGGCGAGGCCCGCGGAGATCGACCCAGGGCCTCCGCCCACGATCGCGACTCGCCTCCCCGGACGCCATTGCAGGGAAGCCATTTTGAGTTGGGTGTGCGGATGGGAGGGAGTGGGGGGGGGGTGAAGCCTGTAATGCAAGTAGCCTTGCAGGGGGGAGTTGGGTCGGTTTTGCCGAGAGACAACGTGGAGAACGAAATCGGGTGATACGTGATACGTAGGTTGGAGGTTTGAAGGAAACCCGGGGACTTACTTATATCTTTATCTCAATCAAGAGATGAAATGCTGGAACAATGCACGTCCATGGCATACAAGGTCCGGAAGTCCACATCCCGACGTTGGAACTTAACAAGGTTAGCAGCAGCAGTTGCTCCATCAAGAATACTTAATTAGGGCAATGATGGCCCGGGGAAATCCGCTGACAAAGCGACAAAGTCCTGTGCACGGGCCACATTCGCCCCCTCGAGATTTTCCACGAAATACCCCGGGGTCCCCACCCCAAACCACCTTGGAAGTCTACTTATTATAGGTACCTAACCTACCTTACTATCCTTGCTGACCGTGGTAAGTTATCTGCTTCTGCCCAGAACATTTTTGATCTACAGGTAAAGGGGTTCTCGCGAAGCCTAAGATGCCGATGTGTTTGTTGCCTTGTGTTCTTGCTCGGCTGCCTAATTCACGAGGCAGCCGCCGCAGTGCCTTCAGTGCCTTAGGCCGGCTACATAGTGTTCATGCGCGACGATTCGCAAAGGTTGGAAGGGCTGGGTAGGGACCTTACAGTTAGGAACTACTCGTGTGTTCTTAGTTGCTGCTAAGACCCAGAGTCCCTCCCATCGTCCAACTTGCGTGATCGATAGTCTTTAGCCTCGCCTGGATTGACACACCAAGGATGCAAGGTATGCTACTAACACACCACTCGAGAAAGACACTCAAGTGGAATCCGTGATCCAAACCCTCCCGCAGAATGCAGACTACATCTACCCCTTGTTGTAGATGAAAGAACTTTCACATTCTGCGCATATATTCTTCGCCTACACAACAGATCCCAAAGGTTGCCCGCTTCGCCCAACCGTCTTCAGCCGGAGGTGCTGCTGCCAGGAGGAATAAGGTTGACGCAGGGTCGGGGCCGTGACCCGAGCCTGCGGCCAGGCCATGCTCTCCTCCGGGATCTCCGCGGTGACGCGCACCAGGCGCCCGACCGCAGCCCAGGTAAAGCGTTGGTTCTCGGAGCTGGGAAGTAGACTTGTACGTATATTTGTACATGGTTCAAAGGGGGAAAGCCTCGGTTGGTGAAAGGAACGGTGTATTCGCTGTCGCGGTTGAGCCGAGTGAAGGCGGAAGCCATCCTGGCGTATGCATCGCCGTGCAGACGAGGGACATGGCCATAGTCTTCTGCCATCCATGACTCGGGATCTGAATATTGCTCGCTGATGGGTGGTGTCGGAGCCTCCTGGCTTCCAGATTGAAGCATTGGGAGTTCGACTTGTCTAGGTAAAGCTGTGGGCGGGAGCTTCCAACTGTAGTACCTGGACTGCCGGTTCGTTCCATGAGGGCGAAGGGAGATTCACAGCCACTGATGGGTTGTTGGTGTTACATAGTCTAGCAGAGGCATCGACAAGTATATTGGAGCTGTTTATGCTGACTAGAGTAAGAAAATAAGAACTCAAGGCGGTTTAATTGCGGAAGCATATACTGTAGTCTCGGTCCCCGAATGGGCTGATCCGCACAATAAATACGCGATCACACTGAACCATTGGCGAAAACCATAGCATCAGCCCTCACCAAGTTTGCCATACAGCACAAAACCACTTAATAGGTTGGCTAAGATTGACACGCGATTATACATGACTCATAAGCCTTGATGCCATCGCTGGTGCACTGTCTGTTCGCTGCGTCGTCTGACACTCCGCTGCACTTCTCGCTATTCAGACAGAGATTGAAAAAGCATGGTGCCGTGCAGACATCGTGTACCTCTAGGTATCGGTCGATAGTGCCACATCCAACTCTAAAGTCATCTTCTGCATCAGTAGGTGGGGGTGTTGGATTTGCCGTAGCTGCAGGAGCCGTAGTGGCAGTTGCAGGTGCCTGCGTTGATGGCTCGGTGGGGTACAGTTTCCTGCAACTCTCGTCGCAGATTCTCAGATTCTCATTGTTGGCGGGAAGGCAGAAGTCGACAGCCCCGGTCCGCTCAAAGCATCGGTCCACGCCTGCCAGTGCATTCTGCACGCAGTCACTACTGCAGCTTTCATAAGTCCCTTCAACCTTGGGCGGGCATTGGGAGCCGCAATCCTTGAAGAAGCAATTCCCGATCTCCGTGTTACATCTTCCTTGGCAACGCCGCAGGAAAGCCCCTGCCTTCCGGCGATTTCGTATGCGCGATGCATCCTGCCTACAGAGGGCGGTGCATGCATTGCTTTCCTCCACACAAGTCTGATAGCATCTTTGCGCGGAACATTGAGTGTCCTGCGCTTCAATAGCAAGCAGGACAATCGCCCAGACCACTAGTAGAATCCGCAGAATGTCAACGTACATATTGGGTTTGTCGAGTCGCTGATCCGTCCGAGATAGTGCGTGCTTGACTTTAATTTGCGGTGGTGTCTGTGATGGTGCCCCTGACGGTGTTATTGGGAGTGTTTTTCGGTCTTGAAATGTTTGGCCGCTCAGGACGAACGGTTCGGGAGTGCATAGATATTTCGAAGGATTCAGGCAATCTGCTTGTTTCTGAAATAAGAAGCGTCGCAGCATTTATATACCCGAGGGGCCACGGATTACAAGGGTCCAGGCAGCTACTCATAGCTGCTATAGCTTGGGGCTAGGCCTGTTAGACAAAGACGACGAGATAGTCGTTAGGTCATGCCAAGGAAACCAGCTGAACAGCATAGGGGCCGAGGAAGTCACCAGCCTCTCCTTGCTTTTTTGGAACGCACTGATCCGAAGCGCGTGACGTGTCGCTCGTACCAGCTACAATCTACAGTTCAACAGCAAGAGCAGTGGAAACTCCAGTAACATTTACGTGACAGATTTAAGCCCTCCGCCAAGTACGATGCGCCTAGAGAATCGTAATCTTAAATGGCAGTCGACCAGAGGAGCGATCCAGTCGAGTTCGATAAGCTCGCATCTCCAACCGTGGTGGCTAGACCGGTGGGTGGCCGAACCCTAAATGGTGGAATACCCACGGGAGAACACCACTGTTAAACAAGGTTCAACAGGAATATGAGGTTCGACAAGCTGTCTTTGGTAACTTTTAAACGTTATTTAGTAGCCGTCAAAGCCTTGACCGTGAAACCCCCGGATCGTTACGGACGCGAAGTAGATTGTGCTGGTGTTGCATGTGTTCAAGGCAATACGACGGTTATTATGTGATTGTTTAACGCCGAATACAGTCTTCTCTGCGAGGCTCTTTCCGGGTGAACACGACGGTTACAGCTTACCTATTTCGAATTTCTCCAAGGTCTGCCTGGGATGGGCTCCTACTAGGACCTTTTGACAACCAATCTCGCTCAGATAACTCGATGCACACCGTGCCTGTGACTTGTCAGTTGAAATGGCTTTAACATGGTCATGTGGCCCAGTTCTGGACAGATCTGAGCTGTATAGAGAGAGCTCTCTCCAATTCAATGCCAAGTCCTCTACCAGGGAAACCACGTCAATCTTACTCCGGCTCATGTTGGAAAAACAACGAATTTAATAAATGAAGGAGAAAGGAGGCGCAATAAAGCCCCTCGTGTTCGCATTCGTTCCAGGTGGCAGGGAGGTTGTTTTTAGGTTTCCTGCCCGAACGCCGGAAATGGAAGACAGAACGTTAATCCGTGATAAGTTATACGAGCGCCCAGCCCCATTGTTACCACCAAACTTGTATAAGCCTGATTTTCTTTTCATCAGTCCCTCATATCTTAAAAAGTCTCATAGAAAAGCGCGCATGATACCTCTTACTAAGTAGAAGTATTTACGGAATATTAAAACAAGGAGAGCAACAAATCGAAGCCACGCCGTGTTTACAATTAGTTCTCTCTTGCTGCACGCCCTTCAATTAATCAAGTCCCTACTTCCGACAATACCCCTTCGCTCGAGGTGTGACTCCCTTCGGCTGTCCTGCAAAGCCGATAGCGAATATCATTGCCACATTCTTGTGATGCGTACACAAAATAATAGTAGATTCTCGTGCTTAGATTCACGTACGAAGTCGCTGGCGGCGGGGGGCCTCTGCCCACGACTACAACTCATTTCCCTGGGCGCCATTGACACCCATTCTGTGTCGGTGTGGGTAATGGAGAGAATGGGTGGAGTTCAGACTGTAAAGCAAGCAGCCCTGCTGGGGGGAGATGTGTTGGTTTGCAGGGAGCGATAAGGTGGAGCACGTAATGGTTGCTCCAGAAGTAGGAGCCGGGAGTAGAGTCACTCTCACCTATTTATCTCAATCTGAAATACATGTAGATTCCTGGTCAAGAGATGTCCCGTGACAGAGCAGAGCAGTTAGGGCTATGTGTGGCCCGGGGGCGGGAAACCTGCCGACGAAGCTCGAAGCCACGGACCGAGTGCTGCCCCCGTCTGGATTTCTACGAAACACCCCGGGGTCCCCCACCAAAAGCTGTAACCTCCACCATATGATGAATGAGTTGAGATGGCTGCTAAAGGTAATCGAATTTCCTTTTTACTAGTATGTCTAGGGTTAGGCTACGTCCCTTGAATTTCTTTTGATCATCGATCCCTCGAATGTCAAGTTCGAATCTATCCTCCGAAGGAACAGTAGAAGGTCATTAGAAGTTGGTCAAATGATTCGAGAGTCAGCGTTATACAATATGGCGAAATGCATGTTTTACAACTATCAAACGAGAGGGACTTGGGATATTCTCACAGAGAAAGGGTTGGGGGAGGGGGGTATCGGGTAGTAAGAAAGACGGATAAGAACATCTTCCGGAAACTAGGTTTCTAAAATGTATGCTCAGTTATGCTAAGTTAGGGGAAACCTCGGCCGCTAGAGTCCAGGGGAACCTAGGTTTGTTTGTCTACAGACCAAGTGGATTCTAGTCGACCTAAGGGGGAACCAAAAGCACATCCCCTACCCGGAATGCGTCTGGGCATAGGAGACCAACGGCCGGATCGACAGCATCTCCGTCTCGACATGCGCCGCCAGATGCCACTTGATGGCCTCCTCCGGGCCGTCGCCCGAAAACGGTTCCTTGCAGAGGGGACACTCGGTGAACTCCAGTCGGGCCGCCGGGACCTTGGTGAGTGCGGTGGCTGGCAGCTTATCCCAGCCATGGACCAACTGCGCATGCCTATGGACTTTGTCGCTCTCGTGTGGTCCGAAGGAGACTGTGTCCTGCTCACACCCTGGCGCGCTGCATTCCCAGTGCCCGCCGTGCCCCCGCATATGGTTGACCCAGTCGTCCAGGCGGGCGAACGTGGCATTCCCCCAACACTCCTTCGCCAGGCAGATGTATGGCGAATAGTCGTAAAGCACGTGGTGCTGCCACATGGCTGGGGTCTGGTACACCGAGACGGGCAGCACGTCACTACAGTAGGGGCATATGTGCTCTGTCGCATCAGCAGGGGGCTGTGGCGGAGGAGGCAAGAGAAGCTGCTGCCGCTGCTGCTGCTGCTGGGGCCCAAGAATGGCAGGATTCACCGTGTGACACCCTAGCCGATTATCTTGCAAGCGGAAGCTAAGGAGCTTCCAGCAGGCGCTCATTCGGTGCGCGATCCGTTCGCAGAGATCCAGATCAGCCCTGGGATACCTGGCCTGGAGTCCCCGCAGTGCGTCCGCGCGGAATTGCTCACCGCGCTCGTTGCGGCTTAGCAGCCAAAAGTCTTCCCATATGCTGTCCCCGCGCTGATCGGCCTCCGACTTCTTCACCATTCTTGAATTCACCTCCTCTTCGAGGTCCTTCAGGCGAGAGTGCACCTCCTTGCCGACTTTCTGGAGGGGCTCGATCCCCCGGAAGAGCAGGCCCAGGTTGCGGATTACGCCTTCTGTCTCGAGTCGCATGCGCGCGTCGCAGTTCTTCTTGAGGGCCCGCAGGGCATCCTCGAGGAAGACCAACTTCAGGCAGATCGACTGTTGGGCCATGGGGAAGATGCGTAGCTTACTGATCTCCGTCAAAGTGTAGCCGTCACCAGCGCCGACGACAGTGAGGCCCAGTCTCTCTAAGCGATCGGCGACATGCTCGAAGCCATAGAGGCCAATGAAATGCTCTGCGTCAGTGTCATCAAGGTGATTTGGCAGGTTGTTCAGGATCTCGGCCTCCAGCGCCGTGCACCGACGCGCCCGCTCCATCAGATCCACATTGTTAGGGTATCCCGCGTGCGGTAGGTTACAGCACGCCACCAGTTCCTCCATTAAACCCATTTTCGAGGTGTTGGGTGTTGTATAGAGCTGCGTGGGAAGGTTGATATATCCAGGCGGGCTTCGGGTCTGAGATCGTTTCTCTCGAGAACTGCTTCGGACGTTCTGGATGCTTGTTGATGGAGGAACACAACAAGAAGAGACATCGAGAGGCTTATATACCTGCCGCATCAGTCATGGACCGTCCCATGTGCTGTCCTGAGCAACGGACAACCTCCAAGATGCGACCCCCCGAGTACCGGGATCCACCGGATTAGCTGATATGGCCCTTGTGAGCATCGTAGAGACCCATGGTACCGTGAATCCTAGGATCAATCTTGGACGACACACATACAATGAACAAGATGAGCTTTTCTGGCTCCATTCAGCATGAAGTCGTGAGGAAACACGATTTCAAAGCGTGGGCGTACAATTCAACAAAGAGGACAAGCACGATACGAGTATGGATAGAGACATGAAGACAAAGCACATACATTTGAGCCGTGACCTGTAAGGATCTTGAGAAAGAAAGAAATGGAGAGAAACAGAGGAAATCTACCGAGAGATGGGGACAAGCGGCAGGAGGAGGCTGAAACTGAGAAGACGGTCAAAACCAGAGTGAGGAGAGAAGGAAGAGGGTGGGGAGAAAACATGAGGGGAAATCAGAGAAGAAGAGGAATGGATGTTGATGCTTCAGCCCCGGTCCTAAGATGTAGAATCAAGGGCGTCTGCTTTATCCAAAATTCCGCATTTCGAACCCGCCGTCCAAGCCCGGGGTACTTTCACTACTGTCCCCTATAGAAGGCGACGTTGCGCCTTGTGAATCTGTCGGTGGTGGTGTCGGCTTCTTTTCCCATACCTGCTCAATCCCTTTTGCCTTTTCACTCAGGTCCTTATTACGCTCGTTGATGAGCATAAGTAATTCGGAGATTCCATCCTTCGCAAAGCAGAACCATAGGCGAGTCCAAAACGTTGACGATAAGGGCTTAACATTGGTGTTAGACGTCAAAGATTCGAGGTCTCCGTGCGCAGCAGTCCCGCCATCTGGGGACTGTTGCCACCTCACCCCAGAATAAAGCTCTTCGGAGGCTAGCTTTGGATGAACCTGTGGTCTTGAAATAAGCTTTGTGTTGCCTGCACCTGGAATGCAATATGAGATTGTAGACCTACAAGGTACTCCTCAGGCAGCTGAAGCTGCTTGAACTGGAGAATATACTGGAAACTTTTGAGTAGATCCTGGAGCAGCAAAACTTTGACCTTGAGCGATTTTGACCCCATCGACTCAAGTGTGTCAATCAGCTTCTTCAGCTTCTTCAAGGTTTCTTGGTCAAGACCATTACGTCGCAGCGGGCGGGAATTCTCGCCGTGGAGCCCTTCTAGCGTGTTGATCGATTCGTGATACATGGCGAACTCCTGACAAGCAGTCGTGCGCATACTGCCACTCTGCAGATCGATATCCGCTGCATTGAAAATGCATATCATACAATGCTTGATGAAGAACGGTAGATGTAGAATGTTGGCGAAAGTAAGTGTGGGGTTGACGATCTGGAAAAAGTTGAGCCACGCGGCCATGTTGAGTTGCGGTCCCTTGGGAGATTGTACAATGTAAAGTGGAGAGGCAGGAGAAGCAAAGTAGACAGGTTGCTCGGATTAAAAAAATTAGTGGAAGACTGAGAGAACCGGCCTTTCAAGCAACCCCTGGTCGCAATGGCTGGTTGCCCAAGGGTTTGAAATGAATGACGGTTGATTGAAGGCTGTAGCTAATGTGCGGACATTGGTGTAGCTTGTGAAGGGGATGGTTCAGTAATGTTAGCGATCAGGAGGTTACACCTATTCCCTCTTGCCAGGTCTGCACAGGTCTCTCATGCAGAGAAAGCACTGGCCTGGAGATGTAGGTCATTGCCATACCCCCGGCCCAGCAAGCCCATTGTGCTTCATACAGGTTGCTGCATAGTTGGTCTTTATCTGTATGATCACGCAGCAGATGTATGGTCACTGCCATTGTTCTCGTTGAGTGCACCCTTGCCAAGAGAATCAACGCTTGAAAGAGGTTGATAAAGGGATCTGATGGCAAACGGGGCTTGCGTGAATAATAACAGGAACCTTCACTTCGGCCAACAAAGACAGGTGTAACCCATCACAGTCAACATCTACTACCACGGCAAAGAAACGGGATTCTATTGACTGTGCAGTTGACTTTCTTCGCTCAAGGGTCCCTGAGATTCCTATTGTCCTGCATCTTTGCACTGGCTTTCCTAATATCCGGCCTACAAGTTGCCAGACGACTAGGGACACCTGCGATAACCTGTCAAACAGATATGCTATGTTGATACCGACGACAAATGCATGCCCAGACTGACAGATGATCGTTCATAATGCTAACAGATATCAGGAACTCTGCAGGTAGAAATAATTCTTACTTTGATCAACCAGCGGACGCACCAACAATCTGCGCAGGTGTGAATCTTGGGCTTGACAATTCAGGGGAAAAGCAAAGAAACATGAAGATGTGGATATGTTAATAGGTCCAATCCCCCAACTTCAGACCGGGTCCTCGACATCCGCTCCCTTTTGGTCATTTGACGGGGTCTGTTTTGATGACCGATCATCCCCCTCTAGTCCGTATACCCTTGAGGTAACCCCTGTCCTATCAAGCCATCGGCTACCATCTTGCTTTGCCTTCTCCTCATTCTGCTTCTCAGACCCGCCAGAAAGCTGGGTCATGGTGATGAACTGCGCCACCAGTGCAGAGGCTGTGAACCGCCCCACCACGCCGAGCGCGTCCAAGGTGCCGATGAACTGCACGGAGGAGAGCACGATCGTTCCATACACCACATGCACCAGCCCGCAGATGTTCGCCAACCCATTGTAAAACCCTTTGCCGAGATCCACGCTCCCATCATGATCATTCGTGGGAGTCCCTGCTGCCGTGTCTGAATGCTCCCTTGAAAGAAACCTGCCCAGGCAGTCCACCAGCACCGCGAGACACGAGTTTGTCAGCGCCACGAGGGGTGGCAGAACCAGCATCACGAGAGATGGCACCGGGGCGAGGAGCACCCACGCCAGCTCCAGAAGACTCACATTGCATTTCCAGCTGATGATCGTCTGGCTGCCGAGCCGAATGGCGTTTTCCAGCACGTTAGCCGCGGCCAGCGCCACCGTGAGATATTGCACCACACTCCGGTACACATTGGGATTTCTGCCTGCAGTATACTCGCGCAGCCACGTGGTCTGTTTGTCGCCCGGACGGTCTGGCTTGACCCAGGGCCTTGCGAACGTCAGCGACGGGGCGGCCAGGATGCTCAGAAACCCTAGGATGGGCCGCTCGCGGAGCAGCTGCAGGCGCTCCTCGATCGTCGGCGCCACCGTCCCCAGAATCGACGGGGTGAGGCCCAGGAGCACCGTCGCCGAGGCCCAATCCCCTTTGTTCACCTCCCCGGCGCCTTCGAGCAGGCACTCGGCCATGTGCTTGCAGGTGTTGGGATCGGAGGTGTTGTGGGCGGCGAGGGAGGCATTGTAGTACGCGTGGCAGTCGGGTCGCTCGGTGGTTAAGGTGGTCCGGTAGAAGGGGTAGAAATTTTGGAACTGAGTTGCGCGGCTAGTATCGAAGAGCAGGGCTGCACTGTAGATGAGGGCTAAAGATGGTATCAATCAGTGTTTCAACTGATAAGATCCGCCTGGTTAGATGTCTAGGGGAGGGGTTATTCACCGAGAGTGAGTTTCATCGTGGTAGAGTATCTCCATCATCCCAAAATGCGAAGACTTTTCAGATTTACACAAGGGCAGGTAGTGCATATATCAAGGGGCCGGAAGAGAGACAGAAAAGGAACCGAGACGTGGAAACCGAACTCCAAAAATAACTCATGTATTGTCAGTGTTAACGCGGGGCTGAGCGGCGGCGGTTAAGGTCAGCACTCAGCACCTATCATCGATCGTCAATCATCGCTCATCAATTCCCTTGATGAAAAGCAGATGCAGCTGACGGGAACTCAACAGTGCACGCTAACCTTTGAAGGAAACCGTATGGGTAATGTCCAGTGGTTCGAGGTTGGAGGGTTGGCTGTGTGCCTGGCGCGTATTTCCTGCACATGCTGTGGGTATACAATGGGGTAGTCTTCTGCAGGTAGACTCCTTTTCTTGGTATTTTTGAGGTACTTCGAGACGGAGGTCTGTCTACTCAGCAATCATGCTGTGTCACTAACTTGGTGCTTTGAGATCTCATCTATGCTAGGCAATGGAAAGACGTGATGTCAAGGTAAGGAGAGAAGTACGGAGCTGTTGATTCTTGTAACGTGAAACGCAAAGGTCGCCATGTACTGTAGACCATGTACGGCAGATTGTACAGACTACTAACGCAGTACCCCCGCCGAAATGGCGACACAAGCTCTCATCTGTGAGAAACAGTATTCTTCATGGAACTTGAACGCTTGCGTAATTTCTCAGAAGCACCAAAATCAATTAATTCTAACCCTCATCCAAGGGTAGAGGTACGCAGCCCCAGCTTCCCGTCGTCGCAAAGTCCCGTCGTCGCAAAGGGACCAACCAGTTTTCCACCCGACAGAGTAAAACTAGCCCACCATGCAAGGAGTGACAAAGTGGCTGGAAGAGCGAAGTCAGCTGGTCTCCATGACACACCAAAGCACCACTAACTTAGAGCTGATGATGATCACCGGGAGAGACACGGAAAGACCAAAGACACCCTGCCAGCCAACCCGCGCAGCACAGACCCCTACCCCGGCACCACGACCCCCCTCACCCGCAGACCAACAGCCCCTTCTTCCCGCGGCTCCCTGCGGAAGTCCGCCTGCAGATCTACGGCTGGCTTCTCGGCCACCGCTCGCTGCACTACTTCAACTGGTGGGACGAATCCGCGCAGCGATGGCGGACCTTCCAGCACGGCTGCACCTGCTTCCTGAATACGATTCTCGACGGCTCGTGCATGTATCGCCGCAACCCCGCGGACCTTGAGACCTGGCACGCCTCGGTGGAAGCCTTCGACGCCTGGATGGATCTCGCGCTGATGCGCACGTGCCGGCAGGCCTTCACCGAGGCCCTGCCGGTCCTCTACGCGAGCAACGAATTCCGCCTCCACTCGCCACTGACGTTGGGGCATGCGTTCGCGCGGCAGACCCCGTGCGGGGCCCCCGCCCTCATCCGCCGGCTCACCTTCCGCTGGGAGCTGTACAGCAATCGCTTGCTCGCGCCGATTACACGCGCGTCTGGCGGGCGCTGGCGGCCACGTTCCCGCACCTACGGGAGCTGCGGATCGGCATCTACCCGCGCTTCGGGGAGGATGAGGGCTTTGACGAGGCGGGGAGGAGATTGCCGTCTGCGCGGATTCATCGGAAGCAGCAGCTGCGGCGGCGACAACAGACCCGGTCGGATAGTCGGCAGTTCGTCGACGACGAAGACCTCCCCGAGTTTCAAGACGCGTGGCTGGAAGGCATGGAGTGGGCAGTCGATCGTCTATCTGACTTGATGGTCTTCCAGATCGCGCTGCACATGGACATCTATCACCATCTGCGGGCGCGGGTGAAGCTCTTCCTGGCCGCCCGGCAACGACAGCGCCAGCAGCAGCAGCAGCATGGGGGGTCATCCCCGATTCAGTACAGAATGTGGAAGGCTCCGGATGACCGAATTCTCTCTACCAGAGGCGATACGCGACCGTTGTCGGCGGGTAGCTCCGTGCAAGGCCTTGACCTCCGGCCTAACTTTTGGGTGGGAGGCAAGGGGAAGTGGATGAGGCAGGTTGGTGGCAAGATGACATTCCCTCCGGACCGGAGCGAACCTACTGTGTCTGAAAGCTTGATTGTTGAACGCTCTGTGGAGTGGGTGGAAAGGTTTGTTCATTAGTCCTTTGATTCTGCCTCGCAGTATAGAGCAAAATCGGCCATACCGCCCGGTTGTCAGCACACGGTAATAGATACCTACGAGTCCTACAATATTATGTACTGTACATAGATTATCGAAAAAAGTTCCAATCGCCAATTTGGACTTGTTAGCGTTGTCCTACTAACAACAACAAAGCACAGTCGGGATCCAGTGGGCCACCGTCAGACGGCAGCAGCAGCATTGGATGAATGAAGTCTGCGGGACGGCCTTTGTCTGCTCTTCGTCCTCTCACTACTCATTCCTCCGCAGATATGAAGCACTAAGGAAACCAGGCTTGAGCTGGATGTGTAGTCTTGCACTTGCGCCGTCCGGCCACGCTCGGTAAATCAGAAACCAGTTGGGAATTGTTCTCACGGAGCGTGGTAAGTCTCAAGAGCTGTCAGTGGTAGTGCTCGCTCAGCTTGAGGCTTCTCTGGATGCGCAGCGAGGCAGCATCACATGATGTGAGTAGCCCTGGGAGGGAGCTGATAATCTCCACTTTTGGAGTTCCTTCGTGCGTAAGCATGTCGTATATACACTCGCAGAGTTTCTAAGTAAAAAGTCGACAATTACGTCTACTCTCGAGTAAAGTGAAAGTTGATATTACGGATATGGTAGCCGAGTCACGATCACGGTTCGGATGAACTCAGCTGAACGCTCAATCATGTGTGATGTGTCATAATTCTTATGATTGTCATTGTTCAATTATTCTTTTCTTCTTTATATCTTTCTTCTTGCGAAGTAAGAGAAGATAATCGCTTCCACTGCCGAGTATAAGAAAGAAGCTACAAATAGCTAGCCACAATGCAGCCAGGGCTACTGTAACCCGTCCGCCAGCGTGATTCCCACCTCATGATGGAATAGGGAATCCTTCAGGATTGCCATCACGTCAAGGTGTGGTGGTCATCGCCCCCGAGCGATTCTTGAAGAGCAGATCCACCATGAAATCCAGGGTAACCTGCAGAAACGCGACATCCGTCGGCGAGGAAGCCGCCGGGAACTCTGTCCAACCATGCTTCCCGGTCCAGAGCACAGGCGGGTCCTGAGAGTCTGGAGACGCTTCGTGGAAGAACCGCGCCTGTTGCAGCGGGTCGAACGTCGCCACGCCCGCGAGGATAATGTCCGTCGGGTACGAGTGGTTCTGCCGCTGGCTGCGCCACTCGTGCTGGAGGAAGCGCGCCGCGAAGCCCCATGGATCGTCGTCGGCCAGATCGGCGGGAACGTTGAAGCTGAGAATTGGGGGCAGCTTGTGTCGGATTCCCGCGGCGGCCTGGCGGGTCTGGAGACTTCGGGCGGCCGTCAGAGTGTCCTTGCTCGTGTGGATGGTGATTGTGTGGCCTTCAAATTCCGTCTGCCACGTCGAAATTTCGATGCCGGCGGCGAGTGCTGCTAGATCCATGTTGTGTGTGTGTGGGTGTGGGTCGGTTAAAGCTTTTGGCTTGTGTTTTCCGGGTGAGGCTGGATGCTTGGAATTGCAGTACGAAGGATGACCTCAAAGAATACTTTATGCAGAAGGGGAGGAAAACGATGTATTTATAAGCCAGCAGAAGCCAACCTCTTCGCCAGCTTAGGGGGGGGTAGATTTTCGAGTGGATAAAGAACTGACTTCATTGAGGGCATACAGACAAGGGATGATAGCGGGAAGATCTCATGATAAGGTGATAGAAACAAAGACTGTCAAAGATGTAAAGACTTCAGTATACCGGACCACAAAACACTCTAACTAAGTGCTACTGTCAAGTATTTGGATCAGAGTACTGGGTATTGACGATACCTGCTTGATGTATATTATGAGGAGCTAGTCCAATCCTGGGTATTATCACAACTGCCCTACTTATACCTGCGGAGTTGTGGACCTTATTTTACTTTCTGTAAAGATAACTACATTCTTGCCCTCTACCTCTCCCAAAAGCATAGAAGCCGTTATATAGAGAGAAGGATACTGTATGTCAGATGTAAGATCACTTTTAGAACTTGATGTTATCAGTGATCCTGTTTTTAGAATGCGGAAAGAAGAAGGAAAGATTATTTAATATCGTAGAATTCTGTATTGGTCGATTTCGAATTGACTTGTTGACTGGTTGAAGATAGCTTCTTACACCAACAAGAGTAGAAAAAGGAGAACGAGCACAACTAGCTAAGCCAGCTACACTGCAGCCGCGACGACGGAGACCACTCCCTGCCAACCCAACCGGCATGTCAACCCAGAAACCGATCTGCCAGCCTCTCCACTAGGTCGAAGAGGTCTTGACCGACACCGTCGTCCCACCTGGCCGCCACATCCGCCCCCAGCCCCCTCTGCTTGGAGAGGAGATCTATCCTAAACGCAAAGGTGTCCCGCACGAAGGTGAACCGATCCGCCGCCGAAGGGGCCGGGAACTCGGTCTGGCCGTTTCGAGACGTCCAGAGCAGCGGGGGCCCGTGGTGGGCCGGCGAGGCCTCGTAGAAGAAGCGCGCGCGTTGGTGCTGGTGGCACGTCGCGATGCCCGCGAAGAGCATCTCCGGCGGGTAGGTGTGGGGGTGGTTCTGCCGCTGCGTGCGCCACTCGTGCTGCAGGAAGCGCGCCGCGAGCCCCCGCCGGTCGGTGAAATTGGAAGGCAGGTCGAAGCAAAGGACCTTGGGGCCTTGGATTACGTTTCCGTTCCCGTTCCCGTTCCCGTTTGTGCTCACGTTCACGTTTACGTTCCCGGTGACGTGAATCGTCGGGTTGCCGTTCCCATTGCTGTGGTCGTCCGTGAGGACGGTGTTCGTGTGCACGGTGATCGGGTGGCCCTGAACCTCGGTCTGCCAGGTTTCCGCTCCGGTTCCGGCTGTGGCTGTGGTGTGTACTTGACCCATTGTGATAATAGTTAACAGGTGTTTGCTGTGTTTCTCTTGTGAGAGATGGGGTGATCTGGGTCTACCCAGTGAAGGATGATCTAGCAAACTCACGATAGTGAATAGGAGTAGCACAGGGGCTGTTTATTAACTAGCCGGGTTTGGGGTTGAAGCTTTCAGTTTGCAGGTTTTGACGCGTTGAGCCTTGAACTCTTTATTTTTGATAGAGAACTTACAGTGTTGCAGGATTGCAGGCAGATAATCAAATCTGGAAAGTCTCTTCAGGCAACAACACGCTTTGTCTTTCTGCTACTATGAAGTGTTTGTATCAAATGAGTGTGAAATTCTCATCCCCGCTCCACGTCTTGTACAATAAAGAGAGCTTATGACAATCAACCCATTCCTGCATCTGTCCCCCGATAAAGAACCCAGCCTGGCGGTCCTGACTCAGTTCAGCCAGCTCTCAGTTGTTATCACAACTACCCCACTTCATCGCCTGCGGAGTCGTCAAAGTCTCCTCATCCTCGGCAAAGATCACCACATCCTCGCCCTCCACCCCCACAAAGGTGCAGAAGCCGCCGCCCGGCGAGGAGATGCTGTACACGATCATGGGATTATCTGCACGTGTCACATAGTATCAGTGATCTTATTTACATAAGAAAATGAGGAGAGAGAAAGGCACTTCGAGGTAAAAAGAGAAAGGAAAAACGGAGAATAGACAGGTTTCCGAAAGGAAAAGGTGGAGCAACGTACCAATCTGCACGGCGGTGGTGTCTGTGGGAAAGAGGAGGGAGTAAGACTCGTCCTCGGTTGCGCCGTGGAAGGTGACGGAGACATTGAAGGCTGCGGCGCTGAGGGTGAGGAGGGAGAGGGTGGAGAGCCAAGCGGTTCTCATTTTGGTGGTTGAGGATGGACTCTGTAAGAAAGGTTTCGAGGGTGCGCGTAGAGTGAGATGTCTTATGGCTTCTGTTGCGGATTTACTGAGTTGTTGGGTTTGAAGAAGGGGTATGACCCGAGCAGGATCATGTTTATATAGCATCTTCTCGACCATCACTGAAGTCCTCTACCATAAATAGTGAAAAGGTCTCAGATGTAGACGCTATATTTAGTTCCTCTTAAGAATTAGGAACTGGCCGTCGTACAATAATAAGCAATCTCACGACGAATGGTGACAGTCCTGGTGTTGAGTTCAAGACCTGCATGGCATAGTCCCAAAAATAGCACGGATCGTATATGCCGATGCAGTCGACCTAACCAGCTGGTTGGATCAACCCTAGAAGTTCGGGCATTTAGGCGGGCTAAGGCGCCCAGTGGCAGGCGGATGATCCGACTCGATCTGCGGGTGTGGCTTGGGGCTTGGAACTGCGGAGGGGTGCAGTTTCAAAGCTTATTCGTCACGAGATGTGGTCATTCCCAGAGATATTCGGTCTCGACATTTGTAATTATTTCAAGCAACTGTAGGACGTGCTTCTTGAGAAGTTTTCAAAGTTGTGACTGGCGGGTTAGTCCTTTCCTTCAGTACTGAACTTGCAGAAACTTCGCCGTATCTGTAGTCCTGGTGTGCTCTCTTATGTTCTCAAGACCACTCCAAGGTCAAAATGCTATAGATCATTTATGTAGATCCTACTGACGAGAGGTATCCTGTTCGTTCACGAAACTAATCTTGGATAAAACCATTTAACTTGGTGGCGCAGTCTTCACTGGCACAACTATAGGGCCGGGCCACCCGAGTCTTCTGCCCCAATATCTTGCTCACCATGCTGACGCCTAGGTTTGCGCTATGCATACTGATACACCAGTTGGACTGCTTGCTTCCCGGGCATGGAGGGGGCCTGTCTTTCTTTCCTTATGTTGTCTCTCAAGTTCTGGCTCATTAGATAATTAACATTAGCATACAATCTTGATCATTGAACTCCATCGGGCCACGGGGTCAGATCAAGTCAAACTCAGCATATACAGACATACTAGTAGGGTTGTTCTCCCGCCGCGCCGCCTTCGCTCGCTTGGTATATATAGCTCCCTTCTTTACTCTTGCGTCACTTTCTTCAACCCGTGTAGTCGTAACTTTTCAATACAAATACTCTACTTCAATGAATAGTCGATTTCCACATGACAGTTGCAGAATATGTCGAGATTGATTCAAGTACGGCTTTGTCAAGACCTCCCAATTGGGCAGAATCCACAACAGTAAACTAAGTGATCATGTCGGCGGTAACAGTGTACAATGGCTGCTACGGGGTCGGCAACTTAGGACTTTCCCCATTCCCACCGCCGCTGTGTGGAAGTGCAAGATCTCTGCTTGCGCTCGTAGAAGCCTCAGCAGCAGGAGCACCCATTGGGCGGCGATACGAGGGTGGCAAACCATGAGTTAAGTAATTAGCCTTTCTGTTTATAAGGAAAAAAGAAACGTCCAGGAAATCCAGCAATATCAATTAGGCTAGACATATAACGCCGCAGTCCAAACAGGAATCATCCAAAACGACTGAGATCTCAGTTCTCAAACTCCAAGCCACCCTCCTGTCTGACGGCGCCATAGATTCCCGCCAAGTCGCCCTTCTCCCCCTGCTTCTCCTGCACCTTCTCCATGTACTTATCGGCCAACTCGACGCCCCGCATCGTGGCGCCCGCAGTACGGGCCATATCCAAAGCGTGTCTGGCGTCCTTGCGGACCAAATCGATGCCGAACAGCGGCTCCTCGCGCTTGTAGTAGTCGCCCGTGCGCATGCGGTTGGCGTACGCGACGTAGGGGCCGGGGAACACATTCTCGAAGAACTGCATCAGCGCGTCGGTGCCCAGGCCGGTCTTCTCAGCGACAACCAACCCCTCGGCGATCGACTTGACCATGCCGATGACGAAGGTGTTGCCCAGCACCTTCAGCTGCGAGGCCTTGGCGGGCGCGCTGCCCGAGAAGTCCAGGAACGACTTGGCGATCACCCCCGTCGTGTAGGGCTTGACGGCCTCCACGTCCGCGGGCGCACCGGCCAGCACGCAGATGACCTGGCCGGCGGCGGCCATGGCGGGCGCGCCGAAGACGGGGCTCGCGACGAAGCGCGCGCCCGCGGCGGTGAGCTGCTGGTGCACGGTGGTGGTCGTGTCCGGGTGCACGGTAGAGCAGTCGACGAAGAGCTTGTTCTTGACGTCGGTGGCCAGGGCGGAGGTGACCAGGGAGGTGATGGCGGCATCGTCGCTGACACAGGTGAAGATGATGTCTGCCTCGGTGACGGTGTCGGCGAGGGAGGCGGAGACGGTGGTGTTGGGGGTTGCCTTGACAAAGGCTTCGGCCCGCGCGGCGGTGCGGTTGTAGATGATCAGGGGGGTGGTTTGGGGGCCCTTAGCGGCGAGGTTGGAGGCCATTCCCTGCATTGTGTTAGTTTGACTGAGGCTATATGGGTTTACATTAGGAGTGACGTACTCGACCCATGTTGCCGAGGCCGATCCATGCTAGACGAGGAGACATTGTGGAGGTTGATATGTTGATATGTGAAGATCGGTTGGGAAGGAGGTGAAAGAGGTGAAAGATCAAGGCAGTTGTGGTGATTGAAACTGTCGATGATGATTGTGCTGATGATGGTGATGATGATGGGAATATGCTTGGATTCTTCCGGTGTTCTTATAGCTTTTCGAGGCAATTGAGGCGACAGCAGGATTAGAAATCAGCCCTCGCTTACCAGGGAGGTTGAGTTATGCCGCAAAGTATTTCTACCATTGGAATATACGGATAAGGTACTGAACAGCACTCGGGAAGACTGAACTACTACCACCAACTGGGCGGACCCTGCCAAGCAAGAACAAACTGCGGGAACCTAACCGCTTTGGGACTAGATTCCGCTGCAGAATCTGTGGCATGGTGGAAACTAATCCGTTTTAGGATGATCCGATTTTCCAGGGCTGCCTCAAACAGGCTCTCAAACTCTCCTGCCGACATCGCTAGAATCTTCCAACTTGCTAGTTCAGATGGGTCTGATGAGTTGATGAGTTGGGTCATGATGTAGGTTGCGGAACGGATTTCTAAGCAGCCCTGTCAATGGTGTCGTATAAGACACAGTTTCGTCTCTCTTAGTCGGTTGTCGAGTAAAGTTTGCTTCGTGAAGGGACATTTAGAACATTAGACAACATGCAGATCTCTCACATTGTTCTGCTTCAATTCAAGCCCGATGTCGGTTCGGACATTAAAGAGAACGTGCGTTGTTGGAGCTAGCGGCAAAGCGGGAATGCCGGCTGACAATACCTTCCAGGTCGCTAGTCGGATCAAGGGTCTTAAAGACTCCTGCATTCATCCCGAGACCGGCAAGCCGTACATCGTCAGCATGAAGGGCGGTGTGGATGCCTCCATTGAAGGGCTGCAGGTAAGTTGATGTCTTTGCCGGTGTGGTGAGTGATAGGAAGTTGACCTTTTGCTGGCAGGATGGCATCAGCCATGCGTTCGTCTCCGTGTTTGAGCACGCCAGCGATCGCGATTACTTCGCCAAGATGGACCCGGTGCACATTGCCCTGGTCAAGGATGTCTTGCAGTATCTGGAGAGGGTGCAGGTGGTGGACTTTGTTGACGGGCAGCTGATTTGACGTGCTGATATCATGGTACACGGTGCTATGCGGCTGGGATGGGCAATGCGCTGGCTGCGTTAACACCATCTCAGGCCTCGGTACTCAAAGACGGGCTAGTCCGGTCTGAACTCAACATGAATATAGAGCGATGTCACTTTTTTCTAAACTGGTGTAGGCTGCCTCTGCTCTCAGGAATGAAACTTGTGACCTGGGTCTGACCCGGTACTCCAAGGTTATTTGTCCATGCTGGGGATCTCGAAGAACCGTACCAGGAGTTGAAACATTGTTGGCCCATCTGCCACGTGGAAGTTGCAACGACCCTGGATTCTATTGGTTTTGCCCGAGTGGGTTCCATGTAGAAGGGTTTCCACTTGACATGCATGGGCTATCCAGTATGCATGAGTAGAATCTTAGTACCGATGTTGTACAGTAGCTGACAGATCCAGCCCAGGAACGAATCCCTGAATGTATTGATC